CTGATCCTGTCTGATCTTGGAAGCTAAGCAGGGTCAGGCCTGGTTAGTACTTGGGTGGAAGACCACCTAGGAAGACCAGGTGCAATAGTCGTAAAAAAAAAATAATAATAAGGATTGTAAACTGACAAGGTCCTTGCAATCTGTGAGGCCAACCAAGGGTTGCCTCACCTAAAGAAAAAAAAAAGTGATCTCGTGGGTTTCCAATGTGTTCAATTTTTATTTTAAAACCAAAGACAAAGACTTCGGAACAGTCAAAGGGCAGAGGGGTGAGAAGCCTCCTAACTTAACCCTTTCAGCAGCTGCATCATTAAATGAGAGAGGGCTTTGGAGGAAGAATCTAGCAGGACTGGAAAAAGCAAAGCCTTTTCTTTAAGCTTGACATTTCAAAACTGTTCCTCCTTTCTGATTAGATGTAAGCAGCAAACATGATCTAGCCGTCTCTGTGTTCTTGTCTCAATGAGCCGGTATAAGAATTGCCTTTCTGGACATAATCACTTCTGTTTATGTAACCTTCAACAATTCACCAAACAAACACATTCTGACTCATTAGCTCATTCACTCCTCTCAGTGGCAGGAAGCAGAGGCAATCCAGAACATGTTGAATCCAGCGGGAGTCTTGAAATTAAGCTAGAAACAATTTACTGGTGGGCTCCTGAGCAAATTACCAGACCTCTCTCAGCCTGAAAATCAAGGATTAACCAAAGTTCTGTGGTGCTTTGCAATGAGTAAAGCGCCCTAGCTGCGTTGTCCTCAAAGAACAGGTACTAGAGTCTGGATGCTGTAACCTGCAGCATAGCCAGGACCTGTCTGACCAGCACATCTCCTGCCTCCAGTCGCTGCGGCCCTGAGAGTTAGATTAAGCAATCAGCTTTAAAAATCCCACAGGACCACACTATGCCACGTGTAAAGGGCAGGACTTAGCTCAGCCCAGAAGCATGGGTGAGTCGAGTAGCTAGCCAAGGGAATTACAAAGTCACAGAAGGGCAGCCCAGACAGCAATAAGACGTTCATTCATTCGGCAGCTCCTTAATGAGCTCTTCCAATTTAATAAATCCTAGTTTCTGACACAGATGTCATTCACCTTGAGCAGAAATGAGAACAAATAATGATACTACATTATGATAACAATATTAATATAAGTGCACAGTGCTCAGGAGGCCCAAGTATTGGGACATTGACTTTGTTCACTAACTGTGGGGCAGAAGTCTGGGGATCCTGAGTGAGGGGAATGCAGAAATAATGTCAAGTTGGGTTGGGGCCATGGAATGCGCACTTGTGGTCCCGTCTGGCTTAGGGGACAGCCTAACCTCTTACTAGGGGAGTTGTGTGTTCACATATCAAGTGTTTGACCCACAGAGGCAGCTCCTGTGTTGGATTTTTGTTTTTCAGACATCGGACAAAGTTTACCGAATGAAAAGCAAGCCTCGTGGGTACTGTGTGATATTTAACAATTATGATTTTAGCGAAGCACGGAAGGCTGTGCCCAAACTTCACAGCATCAAGGATAGAAATGGAACAGACTTGGATGCAGGTACAGTAGAAACAAAAAGAGGAGTGAAATATTTCTAATACTTTTGATTTTATCAGGAGAACAAATGCTGTACCAACAAGACTACATGTTTTTTAAAAAATGGATCTAACCATATTTCCCTGTGGAAGTGAAGAACATTTTTATATATTTGTCAGTTCTGTTTTTCTTTTATAATTTAATTTTTAAAATCAAAGCAACGTATATATAAAGATAAAATATCAAATCTTACTAAAAGGCTTATACTGAAAAGCAGCAATAAGCTTTGCTTTTTAATTCAACTAAATGAATAGTGCTTCTGTAGAATGTATTAGATATTCAAACGTGTAAAAACATTGTTTTGGTACCAAGACCACATATAGAACTTGCATTTACGAAAGAGTGCAGCAGAAAGTGTTGAGTCCTCTATAGAAATAGCGCTTTCAAATGTTAAACTAGACAAATTCTTTTGTTCAGGCTATTTCAGCTAACATTGAGAACTTACAAGTTGAATGAAAAAATAATTTGCATGAGGACTAAGAAATGGCTACGACTAAAAATAATAATAGAAATAATCCAACCCAACCTATTGTGATATCGAGAATTTTGATTTGATCAAATAATTTTTTAAATGTTTTTTTTGCAGGTCATAAAACATAACATAACAACAGAACATAATGACTTATTTTTTAAATTGAATAAAGTTTAGAAAATTAAGGTAGGCTGATTTTAATCATCAGAACTCTGCCCATGCGGAATAACATTTGTTTATTCAAGCAAATCTATTCTACAGTTTAAAAAAGCCACAGAGCTTAAATCCATTGACTACATTATTCATCATCATCTGTCTTGGTCCTGAAGAAAAGGTTTTAGGCCTTTGATTTCCATACATTTACTATTAAAACTTAAAAAAATATCTATTTGATTGTCTTTCTGGCCTTTTGGTCAAAGAGTACAAAGTTACAATTATGTAGGATGAATAAGTCTAGAGATCTAATATACACCATGATGATGACTGTAGTTAATGATACTGTGGTGAACACTGGGATATGTAGGAGTATACCTCAGGTGCTCTTATCTCTGTCACGCACACATGGACACGTACAGACACATGTGGTAACTATGTGTGGAGATATGTTATTAGCTTGACTCCAATCACTATGTATATCATTATGTTGTACACCTTAAATATATGCAATTTTTTGTTTTTTAAAAAAGGAATCAGACAGGCAGCCAGAAAATGTTGAAAGACTTTGACTAGATCTGTGAGAGTGTTTGGGGAAAAATATGTTAAGCATGTAGAAAACAAAGCAATAAAAATAATGCAATTACTAATGCCAGGAAAGACAAAAAGTTTAATAAGGAAGGATAATTTAAAAATATTGTGTTTACATAGTAGTAATAATACAAACATTACTGTTGGCTCAACTAAAAATTGTAAATAATTGTGTAAGAGCACCAACGTCTCATCATATAATAGGAACTCAATACAAAAGTCTAAAATTTATCAATGAATAAATAGCAATGCACCCAAATTTATTACAAAATGGAGGCTAATACTAAAAAAGAAAGTAGTTAAAAGTTGAAAGTGGTTGGCTTCATGGAACATTACTGGGTAATAGATAGGTGTAGAGAGGGGGGTAATTTTTTTTGTAATAGGTCTTTTAGTTTTATTTGACCTTAAAACATTACTTGACCTAAAAAACATGTTGTATTTTGACAATTTTGAGAGAGTTCAGGATAAAATAACTATGGATCCTTTATGTGAAAAATTTTTTGATTTTTCTTTTCTGATTATGTAAGTAATGCAATTTTTTAGATTGGTTTAGTATTAAGCCTAAATAATAGCTTACCCATATTGTAGACTAGTTGAGATAAGACAACAGGCCAACAGTAGTACTCTCCTTTTTTTAAAAAAATTGCCTCAAGACTGGGACATGTTTCAGCAGTAAATATTAAAAATCTATAGAATCAAGTCAGTAGTGTTGACGATCTTGTTTTTAAGTTCTGGTTCATTCTTATTTGATCAATGTTCTCTTTATCTCTGGGCTATGGTCTGGGAATTATTGTGGTGTAATATGGCTTTTTTATTTCACTTTTCAGGGGCTTTGAGTGAAACCTTTAAAGACCTTCATTTTGAGATAAATACTTTCAAAAACTGCACAGCAAAGGAAATCTGTGATGTTCTGAAATCCTATCAAAGCAGAAACCACAATAACAAGGACTGCTTCATCTGTTGCATCCTCTCCCATGGAGACAAGGGCATCATCTATGGCTGTGATGGGCAGGAAGTCCCCATCTATGAGCTGACTTCTTACTTCACTGGTTCAAATTGCCCTTCCCTCGTAGACAAACCGAAAATCTTTTTTATTCAGGCTTGTCAAGGGGATAACTACCAGAGAGGTATACCTGTTGAGACTGACTCAGAAGAGAAGGAAACCTATTTAGAAATGGATTCATCGTTTCAGAAGAGATATATCCCTGATGAGGCCGACTTTCTGCTAGGGATGGCCACTGTGAACAACTGTGTTTCCTACCGAAACCCCATGGAGGGAACCTGGTATATTCAGTCACTCTGTCAGAGCCTGAGAGAAAAATGTCCTAGGTAAGTTTTGCCTACCCAGCCCCCTTATTCATCAATAAATGTCTAGTTGTGGATCACATAGCTGTACTTCCAGGTCAATTGCAAAGTGGGAGAGAGAGCAAGTGTTAATATCTTTAGTTCAGAGATAGAATTGAGATACTGAAGAGCTTCCTTTTTTGGCACCTCAAAGGCAATCAGGGTATCATATGTTAGAAGGGATAGTAAAATCATGTAGTCCAGCTCTGCATTTAAGCAGAAACATGACTGTACCAACTCCACTAGAAAACTTACAAGAAGTCTTCTAAGAAGGCAGTAACCCATTCCAATGTTTAACATTCTTCAACTCTGTCAAATGTTCTATAATAGCCAAACAACCTCAAAACTGCTTGGTGTATTGTGGGAAATAAGTAGTAGAGAGTAGAAACCCTTTACAGTTTTACTAATTTGGCCTGATTTGAAGCCAAATTTTGATTTCTACAAAATGTAGAAAACATCCTTCCCTCATTTAAGTATCCTATGCTTCCTTTATTTAAATGATGGTTTTGTATGTCACAGTTCACCCAAATGCACACACAACTGACAGATGGATAGCAAGGAATCTTCTGTAGGTTCCTTCTAGTTCTGTATCTCATTATGTTTTAAGTGTATGAAGAATGAGAATTTTCCATGGTAGATAAAGGAGTGAACCATAACATCAGCACTATGTTTTCATTTTGTAATTCAGACCATGAATCCTGGAAGGTTGTGGGGGCTATCTGCAGAGGTGGATGAATAGGTTGCCCACTTAAACTGATTAGAGAGGCTGGTGAGAAAGGTGTGAGGTGGTTGCAGGAGATAATTCAATTTCCACTTGCCTAAAGTTTGATTGAAGCATAGATGATGCCAAAGACCAATGTCAATTTCAGGTAGAGGGTGTTAGGGGATCACTGAGGTGATTATGGAGGCAAATGACATAGTACTTGGAGCAGAGTGAGGTACAAACAGGTTGGGAGGGAAAGAAACCAAATCTGATGTTAACACCATGGTTTCTGATGTCCCGAGTAAACCAAAAATATTAAGCTCTGAGGCAACTGCTTTACCAGGAAAGCTGTGGTAGGTCTTGGTTTAGCAACTTATTATTTCAAGTGCCTAATGTTTTGAGAGAAATAACTATCATAAGCTCAGCAGATGAAAGGGTTTACCAGTCGTTTTTCCTTCACAGCTGGGTACATTGTTATGTTATGTTTTTCAGGGGTGAAGATATTCTTACCATCCTCACTGATGTGAACTTTGAAGTGAGCAGAAAGGATGACAAGAAAAATATGGGGAAGCAGATGCCACAACCTACCTTCACCCTGAGAAAAAAACTCTTTTTCCCTCTGAATTGATGTATAACACTATGCTTAATTTAATTATTAGTAATATGCTGCTGTTTAAGCATTTTATGCTTTGTACTAGCTTAACACTATGCTTAATTTAATTATTAGTAATATGCACTATTCCCCTCCCCCAACCCCCTTCTTTTTGGATGGCAGGAAGGGAAGAGAATGGGAGTCTAGCTATTATTGCAAAGCTAGACTCCCATAGACACTTAGGCCTGAATTTGCACAAAAATTAGATTGTTTTGGTTCCCATGATTTTAATTGTATTTTTAATTTGATAAAAAAGTTTTTAAAAATATAGTAGATAAAAAAGTATAGTAAGTTTAAAAAAAATGTAACATAATTTCAAAAACAGTGACAGAATGTTCTTCACCCATCTCTCATCTGCTTTCAATCCATTATCATTTAATTCCCTTCAAATTGTTAAGAATTTACTTTTTTTGTATATATAATACTTCTATTTCCAAGCCATCCTCTACACTACCTTACAATTTTTTACTCTTCTTCATTCCTGAGTTTGTCTACAGATTAAATTGACATAAGCTAAATTAACAGGAGAAAAAACAATTTAATTTTCATATATACAGGAGTTCATAGAAATCTGAGACTCAAAGAAATGACCAAAGCAGGCAGATGTTATACCTTTTAGACAAAGTAGCCATAAATTTGTGAAGAATTAACAAGACAAAAAAGTTTGGGCTTGGGATAGTAAATTAGTAAAAAAATAACAAGATTTGTTTATATCGCTTTTTTGGCCCTGAATTCCTTATCTTTGGTGATAAGGATGGCTTCTACCCTCTTGGTACAGGGAGGTCACCTTTCACGTGGAGGTTTATTTCCTGTTTTTGGGAGGAATAAAAGAGGGTCACAATGTCTTTCTCGTATTGGCTATTTCTCAAGTCACTCTAGTTCAAAATAATCAGTATGCCCTGAACCCCATTACAAAGTTCTTTAAAATACAAAATGGAAAATATTATTTCTTACATTAAAAGCTTTTAAAAATTCAAAGTGTTTTATAAATTCTTTTTAATCTGTTTTCAAACTCCCTTCTCAACCTTTTCTCTTATCATTCTAGCAATATGTATATGCTTCTGCATATGTTTGTAATTTTAGAGCTAAGTTTTTTTAAAGAATTTTTCAAAACTATTTTAATAAAATGGTATTTTATTTTACTGTTCCTTGGAGATTGTTTTGTTTGACTTCTTTGGCGGGGGCCAATGGCATCTCACAGATGGAAAATGTTTATATCACAATATGTTTTACTTGAGCCTCCCAATGTTGGTTTATACAGTTGTATTTATAAAAATATTATTGTTCATATTTAAAATTCAGAATAGCTTCTTCTGAAAAATCAGAATATTTGACCACATTGACTCCATGCTCCTGTATAGCCACAATGGAATGGGTCCTCCTAATCCCTACCCCTTACCCTCAGTCCCCTATACCACCCTGCCCAATCCCCTCCACTGAAGCTGCAGTCAATTACCATTTATCACTGTGCTTGTGGGATTGTTCTTCTTTATGTCCAGCCCTCTTCATTTATTTATGTTGCTTGCCCTGTGGGCATTTGAATTCTGGCAATGGTTTTGAGAAGGTGGCAAGAATCCTCAGAAACTCTTCCCAAATCATGGGTTAGAGGCTATGACTGAGAAGTAGGAAAGTGGAGACTCATGTAAGAAAGAAAGGATTTTGGATCAAATCAATAAATTATCTTGCTTCCTAGCTAAACGCCCAAGGGAGACAAAAGGTACACCCCAAAATATAGTCAATATTTAATAAGTTTTTCAGATCAGTGTCTTCATAATGAAATATGAAAAGGTGGAAGAGAAAATAGTATAAAGCCCAGAGAAAGCTCAGCTCCAGGTAGAGAGAAAATCACTTTTCAATAAAGAGTCTTGAAAATCTATGTAATTGGGAATTCAAACATTCCCAACCACTTGGAAGAAAGCAAATTGTGAAAAGACAAAAGTAAAATCAAGGCAGCCCAAGAACCAAACTCATCATATGCGTCTCTCAAGAAAACATCACGGGAGTTCTCTAGGATTATAGAGATGGTAGAGAACAACTTTTTCGCTCATAATTCTTGTCTTTTGTTGCTACTATCTTCTAAAGTGTCATAATCATCCTCATAAATAGTAATAGAGGTCGATCTTCCAGATCGTTCTTCATAAATTTCTTCATTTTTGGCAATTATCTTTTGTCTATAAAGAAAGAGAAGATGTATCACTATAGACTCAAAGGGTAGAAAGGGGTGTAGGATATCTGGGGAAAGAGAAATGTGGTTTTATTACTTCATTGAGGGTAGTCTTATTCATTACTTGCAATGGTTTTGAATTTAGTGAGATACGATATTTGGGTAACCAAATGCCCATAAGAGGAATTTTCTAATAAATCAACACTATGAATAACTTACCTTTATTAAAGTATTAACTAAAGTTTATTTCAATGATTTAAGATGCATCTTCAGGTAGTAGTATAATTTTTGACCTTAAGTTGATTTCCATAGGAACCAAATGCAGCCGCATCTAAAGGTAAACCACTAACACCTAAATCCCTAAATTCTCAGGGGAGATAGATTTAAAAATAATCCTTAGTCACAAAACTGAATAAATCTCATGTGTCCTTTTGTATAAAAACTAAGATGTAGATGAGGGAAAGGAGTCCAAACACATTCCCAGCACCATTTCAAATGAGCTGTCTGACTTTAGAAGGTAAATTCTGTAGCCAGACTCAGAGTGAATATCTCCTTCCTGAAAGTGTCTGTGCCTTAACTTCATTAGGGAATACATGGGTTCATTTTTACCTACTCCTCACCCCAAATCTCTCCCCCTTCCTAAAGATAACTCAGCCATGCTTCTGTGGGCAGTAATCAATCATTCACACCTCAGATGTATATTTTCTTCTGTCAGGAGCTGTATGGTGTATTTAAACTTCTCTTCAGATTCGGCAATCTTGGTCTGGAGCATTTTCTCCAGATTTCCCACCATAGTTTTCTGAAAGACATGTAAATTTTAATAGCTATCTTTCCCAAACCAGAAACTATATGACTGAGCTGCACAGAGACCTAGGGTTTTCCCCACAACTCCCATCCCCACTCCAGCCAGGACTCACCTCTCTCTGGAGTTCCATCTGGGTTTGGTAGAGGGTTGTGTTAAGTGATTCTAGGATAACAGCTTGTGCATGCAACTCTTCTTCTATGACCTGTGTAAGGAGATATTGTTTTGGGACATGATAACTATGTCTACCCATTTATTCTCTTTTTCAGGGTACCTGGACTGGAATGTTTAGCATCAACTTTAACTATTCCTTCTCCTGTACCATTCAGTCACTATGTCCTATTAATTCTCCCTCTCTTCTGTATCTTGCCCATCTATATCCTCCTCTGTAGCTTCACTGTCACTGCCTCAGATCCAGCCCTCACCAGAACTCACACAGGTTGTCACAACAGCTACCAATCATTATTCATTAAAAAGGTATTTGTTAAATATCTACTATGGATGCCAACAATCTGACATTCTGTAAAAGGTAAAACTATAGAGACGGTAAAAAGATCAGTGGTTGCCAGGGGTTGAGAGGGGAAGTGAGGAATGTATAGGTGGAGAACAGAGGATTTTTAGAGCAGAGGCACTATTCTGTATAATATTGCAATGGTGAATATGTAGCATGATACATTTGACAAAATCTATAGAATGTACAACACAAAGAGTCAACCCTAATGTAAACTATGGACTTTAGTTTAAAATGAGGTATTAATGTTAGTTTGTCAACTCTAACAAATGTACCACACTAGTACAAGATGTTAATAATAGAGGAAATTGTGTGTGTGGGTAGGGGGAGTATATGGGAAATCTCTACTTTCTGCTTAATTTTTTCATGGACCTAACACTGCTCTAAAAAATAGTCTGTTAATTAGAAAGAAAATCTCCTATTATATTAGGCATCAGGAATATTATAATGAAAAAGACGTATATTTCCTATTCTTATGGGGATACATTTTAATAAAGGAGATGTAAAAATAATAATAATAATAATAATAAATCATCAAAAACCAAAGAATGCAGGTGGAGGATGTAGTATAAGTATAGGGAAGGGATAAGTGTGAGATCTACTTTAGGTACATGCTGGAAAGACTATAAAAATGAACCAGATGGGTCTCTGCTTTCAAGTATCAGCCTCATTTAACTCCTACACATCCTCAGAGCTCTTCCCATGTAATGAGTGTTCTCCCATGATATATAACTACAGCGGTACCATCACTTACTGCAACTGCATTGCACAAAGCACTGTATCAGGTCATTTTGCATTTATTTATTCATTCAAAAAATCAATCGCTATTTGCTGAAATGTCTGTGATGTGCCAGGCACTGTTCTAGAAATGGGATTAGTGGTAAAAAAAAAAAAAAAAAACCCGACAAAAATCCCTGCCTTCACTGAGTTTATCAGGTTAGATAGTTATAAGTCTTTGTAGAAAAATAAAATAGGGAAAAAGAAGTGTCAGGCAGGTTCTTGAGCCTTTAAATAGAGTGGTTCCCTGAGAAGGTAGCATTTGAGTCAAGACTGGAAGGAGGTAGGGAAGTTAGCCATGTGGTTATTAGGCAAAGAGCTTTCCAGGAAGAGAAAAATCAAGTGCAAAGACCCCAAAGTGGGAGCATCCTAGCCTGTTAAAGAAATAACAAGACATTCAATGCCCCTGGAGTAGCGTGATGGAGGGGGAGAAATGGAAGGAGATGAGGTTTTGGGGAAAGGACCAGTAGCATGGAGTAGGTAGAACAATCCTCAGGGCCAACACAGGACTGGGAATAGTTTATATTCCCACCAGCCAGAGTAGAAAAACCCTTCTAATGCACATGGTATTGAGGTAGACTACTGAAAAGGGTGTCATCTCAATAGTGGGGAAAAATTAGCCCTAGACTAAAGACTGCTGCCTATCAAAGCTCAAAAGCCAGGCTCAAAAAGACCAAACTATTTCCAAGTAACTTAATTGAATCCCAAAACAAAACTCAAAAATATTTAAAGGGAACAAAAATATTCGGCACCCAACAAGGTAATGGCTGACATCCAATTAAAAAATTACCAAGCATGTAAACAAGGAAGAAAATATGAGTATAAGTGAGGAGCAAAATTAATTAATAGAAATAGACTCATAAATGACACAAATGATAAAATTAGTAGACAAGCTCGTTAAAGCAGTTATAATAATACACTGGATCTACCTTGCTCCAAAATCCATTCCCTTACTTCGTAGGACATTGCAGTCTGTTTGCTCAACAATCCTGAAGCCTTGCCTGTGCTCTAAGATATCATTCCATGTTTTCACAATGACTAATCATTACCCAAACATGTCCGTTCTAGATTCAAATTAAACTCTCAGTGAAAGAAGAACCACAAGGTACTTTGGCAGTCTGAAGAGTTTCCCTTGTGGTATCTCCCACATGGAGTCCCAGAAGAAAAGTCCATTCAGGAGGCTGTGGGGTGTGGTATACTCAGAGTTTTAAGGAGGGGCTTGGAGTCGGAGTTCCCAGCGGGGCAGTATTGTACTTTTCAGACATTAAAGGGAAGAATCTGGCATTTTGCTACTCAAGACTCTTGTTGTTTGAGCCTTACTGGAAATGGAAGGCATCTAATATCGAAGATCGCACAGTATATTGCTCATATATTTGTTTAAATCTGGCTATAAAAAGATAACAATGGCTTCATTTTACAGATAGTTCTAAAATCCTTTTTGACTTATTATTGAGCAATAAGTCTTCCATTTTTTACTGGTTTTGGGAAAATTATCATAGGTTCCATTTTATTAAGAGTATATAATTTTGCTGATGTATTTGTAAGATGCTAATTCCATAGGAAAAATGAAAAAGCTTACCTCTTTGGTCTTTTTTAGCTCCTCTAATTGCAAGGTGTCCTTTTCATGTTGTTTTAAGAGCTCCTAAAAATAATTTTATTTGGAAAAGGTCAGCACTGGGGTTCTGGCAGAAAAACTAAGAAAGGCAGAATAGGATTCAGAAATATAATATTTGCCAAAGTTTAGATATTGGTTTCACAAAGCACATTGAAAATAAATGACATAACATACTAAAATTAAATAATGAAAATCTCACTCATGTTCAAATATTAAAAGAAGTTATATTTGCATCAAAGGCTTTTCTTGTTAGAATACAGATTTAATACTGTTAAATATCCAATTCCCCAAAGAAAGAATTTGTATTTAGCGCAATTCCAGTCAAAATACCATCAGGCTTTCTTGACAAGATAATTCTAAAATTTATATAGAAATAGAAAGGATGTAGAAGAGCCAAAATAATCTTAAAAAACAAGAGCAAAGTTAGGAGATTTTTATTCCATGATTTCAAGCCACAGCAATTAAGATAATGTGTTGTCCTAATTATAGACAAATAGTTGAACAGAACAGATTGGCGAGTCCACCCACCACCCTCCCCCAAATACAACAAAGACACCAAGACAATTCAATGGAGAAAGAAAAGTTTTTTTAAACAAATCATTCTGTAACAGTTGGATATCTATATGGAAAAAAAAAAGACCTCTGACCTCTACTTTACTCACACACAAAAATTAATCAAAATGGGTTATAGAATTACGAAAGCCAAAATTACAAAGCTTTTTAAAAAATAGAATATCTTCATGTCCTTGGATTAGGCAACAATTTCATAGAGAAGACACAAAAAGCTGTAACCATAAAAGGAAAAAATTGATAGTTTGACATTCATCAAAATTAAAAACTTCTGCACCTCAAAAGATATTATGAACAAAATGAAAAGGTAAACCACAGGAGACAGAATTTGGAACACATGTATCTGACAAAGAACTTGTATCCATAGTATAAAAAGTACTCCTACATATCAATAATAAAAAGATAAACAACCCAAGGTTTTTTTAAATGGCAAGAGATTTGAATGGACACTTCACAAAAGAAGACATATATATTGTCCAATAAGCATATCAAAAATTACCCAACATAATTAGTCACCAAGGAAACTAAAACCATAATGAAATACCACTTCATACTCATTGGAATGGTCAAAGTTAAAAGACTGGCAATACTAACTATTGTCAATGATATGGAGCAACTGGAATTCTCATATAAGATGCAAGAGTAAAATGGTACAACACTGTGGAAAACAGCTTAGTGATTTCTTATAAAGTTAAACCTGTACCTACCCTAGATCCCAATAATAGTATTCCTAGGTATATACCCAAAAGAAATGAAAACATATGTCCACAAAAATACTTGTACAGGCTGTTTATAGAAGATTGATTCATAAAGGCCCCCAAAATGGAAACAACCCAAATCTCCAAAACAGGAAAATGATAAACACATTTGTGTGGTATTCCTACAAAGGAATACTACTGAGCAATAAGAAGGAAGAAATTACCGGTATCAACAATGAATGGATAAGTTTCATAGACATTATGTTGAGGGAAAAGAGCATACACTATATAATTCCATTTATATGAAGTTTAAAAATAAAACTAATCTATGGTAGTAGGGTTCAAAAGAATGGTTGTCTTGGGGCAAGTTTTGAAGGAGATGGGGCTTAACTGGAAAGGAGCACAAGAGTGCTTTCTGGGTTGATGAAATGTTCCAGATCTTGATTTGGGTATTGGTTACATGGATATATACATTTGTCAAAATTCATCATGGTACATTTAATATCTGTGCATTTTTATAAGTGTAAATTATATGAGAAAGAGAGAGAGAACCCATTTATAGATTTACAGTCAGTGTTACTAGAAGAGAAAGGTATGCGTGCAGATAATCAAATTTCTCTTATTAGAGAAACTGCTACTTATTCAGACATCTAAGCAATCTAGGCCCCATAAGCACTAGACATACTGCGGAGTATGCCCCATCTCCTCATTATCGTTTTGTTCAGTAGTATAGTGAATGCCATAAGTGGGATTTTATTGGTGAAATTAGTGGCTTTTCAATTAACATGATGGTTAGAAATAGGCTCTTAAAAACAGAATATTCAAGATATCTAAAATATTTTAGAGTCACTTTCCACTTTGCATAAAATGGATACAAGAATCTAACAAAATTTATAGCTTGTGCACTGGATGAGGTCTAAGACTTCACCCCCAAATGGTCCTGTGTCCGGCTTGGGTGGATCTCTGGTTGCCAGATACCGACTACAGTGGTTACAGAAGCCATTGCATGTACCTCTGATGAATCTTGTATGCACCCAAAAGCTCAGAGAACTGATAGTATTACTGCTTGGACCTGCTGGCTAATGCATGTTTGTTTAGTAAATGTCCATATGTTTGGTAGAATTTGGTCTGAGATCTGCTTTTATTATAACCTGGTATCAGTGTCAAGGTCATGGAGGAGTAACTAATGAGTAGCTAACCCTCACCACCTCTAACTTTTGGGTAGCTACTCTTATTTACAAAGAGTTGTACATCACCAAACTGTTTAGTTTAATTTTCAACAATACCCTTTCTCTTCAGTTATAGTCAAGGATGAGAAGGACATTCAGAGACTGGGATTTTGGCAAAATAGGGAATTTCAGCTTCTGTATGTGCTTTGCATTCTATTGCTTCCTAGTAATTACAATTTTCATTCCAATAGCCCTGTGGTAAGACTCTCAGATTAAGGACAGCAAGATCATGAGGCTACTTGCACATATTTCCAGGGGAAGCTGGGAAAGGGGAACTATGCCCAGAAAGACAAAAGCTCATCTAACGACAGAAGCACACTTGGGAACCAGATGTGCTTTTGGCTGAGTTACCTCTTTCTCTCGATTGAAGTTCTCAAAGATAGCACTGTAGGAGTCATTTATTTTCTTCTTTTCTTCTTCTGACTCTAGCTCAAACTTCTTTGTCATTTTACGTTCTGAGAAGGTGAGAGAAAATCACATATCTATGTGAATGTGGGAGAAACAGATGTAGAGAGAAAACCAGATTATCTGAAGATAATAGAAAGTCCAGACTGGGTCACACTCAAGGTCCTTTCAGCCTGGTGTGCAGCATCTGATGCGCACCTGGAGATGCTTGAGAGTGAGGTCAACACGGTGGTAGCTCGCGATCACATCAGCCCTATGGGACTTACCTCTAATGTCTCTGGTTCTTTTTGTGTAGTTTATTTTGGATCTGTTGCTTATTGTTTTGTTTATTCCCTCTGCTGAAGTAACCACTATGCTTTCTTGAATATCCTGTCTAAAAATATAGCTCTTGACTAACTCGACTTTTCCAGCAATAAAATTTATTCTGTAGTTAGCCCTGGGATAGAAGAAGGCTTAAATATTTTGGGGGACAGGGGCAGGGGAAACAATACTAAGCAGGAGGAAGGAGGTATGAGGGCCTAACCCAAATTTCTTCAGCATTGTGGTGCTGGGGATGGATAAAGAGGCAACTCCTGGGCTCGCAGAGTCTAGACTCTGAGCAGCTAAATTCTGGTCTTCCAAAACTGGTTGTAACATCTTAACTTAGACTTTGACGACATGGCACAAGTATAGTGTAAGTAGCTAGGAGCCTGGAAGAGGACCTGGGCTACGCTATACCAGTATTCTAAGTAAAGCCTCAAATAGGAGCAGCACCTCTTTCCATTCCCTGGCCTTCCCCTCAGGGTCTTCATGCTACCTTCTAGCAGTCCAGTGTCCCCACCAGGCAGGAATGGCCTCAAGGATTAACTTTCCCTCAAATAGCTACATTTAAACGAGTCATTTGTTAAAATCAATGAAATCTGACATGAATTGGGTTGGGATAGGATGTGGAACAGGTTTGCAGAGGCTCCACTCACTTTAACTAGCTTTCTAGACGAAGGAGCAGAGTTTCCACAAATTCCTCTCTCCTTTTTCTATTTATGAAGATAACAAGACTACATTCCTATAGACATCCTCAAGCTTGTTCCAGCCCATGATGGCCAAACTTGGAACCAGTGAGTGTTGGAAGGTGCAGGCTTAGAACCTCAGATGGCTGAGCTTCATAGAAGCCTCCATTCTTATTGTCACGTTCTTGAAAACTCCAGGCGCCTTCCATCCAGGCACCAGCCACGCGGCTCATCACCCTTAGTCTCCTTGAGTTGAGACCAAGCTTAATGGCAGTCCTTTGGTGTACTCGTCATCAAGAAGTCAGAAGTTTCTGCACTCACTTTGCTGTAGCAAGATCTTTTCTCGCTCCAGTTGCTCATCCTTCTCCCATTCTGCCTTCTTCCTTGACCATTTATCTTCCATTTCATCATAAATGCTGTCCTGTGAAGGCACAAAAGCACCATGAAGAGAAGGGTCTGGAAGTAGGCTGTACACTGGCCCAAAGCACAGCACTGGGCGCTTCGCAGCTTCATTCACCTGAGACCCTTGCTGAGGGGCTTTTATTTGGATGTAAATTCCAGCTCAGCCCCCCAGAGGGGCTATAGAACCCTAAAAGCTAGACATTACACAGTGTTTGCCCACGGGAACTGGGATTTCTTTAAAGACAAGTAGGGTTCGCGTGCCAGCTCCCTCTGAATCATGACTCACACTCATCAATAGCATACAAAGAAACAAGGGACCTCGGCCATGCTACCCTGAGCAAGCCCGATCCCGTCTGATCTCGGAAGCTAAGCAGGGTCGGGCCTGGTTAGTACTTGGATGGGAGACCACCTAAGAAGACCAGGTGCTGTAGGCCTAAAAAATAAGGGATTGTAAAATGACAGGGTCCTTGTAATCTGTGAGGTGAACCAAGGGTTGCCTCACACAAAAAAGGAAAGAAAGAAAGAAACAAGGGAAATGCTTAGTAATTAATTTGAACGCTTAGAAAATCATAGGATGTTTTTCAGAGCGTATCTATTTCCCTTAAAAAAAGGTAACTTCCTTTGTGGTTGAGGTTAAATAAGCCTAATCTGATGCCAGCCCTTGATGGTTGGCTCAGACTTCATGAGGGTGGGACCACAGAAGGGAGAAGGCCCAGGACCCGGATGATGCCGTAAGGTCTCAGAATCCTTACTCCCTTCCTTTTCAGGTTAGCAGCAGAATTCACAGTTGGCCTGGGCATCAGAGCTCATTTGTAATAGTTTGTAGCTGTTTAAATAGAGGTTCTCTTTCATCAGTTTCATGACTAGTGGGCAGCTCAGTTTCCATAGAGGTCAAACTCTCTGGAGAGGCCCAGACGGAAGCAAATACTATGCATACACAGGAAATTGGGGCAGCTTACCTGCTCATCAACCTGACATTTCTCTTAGGCTCCACTCTATGATGTTTTTCCTGATTGTATCAAGGTGCATCTTAAAAAATGAATTTTGGGTACAAGCTCAAAACTGAAATTGAGAATAGTCAATCAAGTTTTAGAGGCGGTGCTGATGCTTAACTTGGTTTCCTCCTTTGATAGAGTGATCAATTATCCTTGTTTGCCTAGGACTGAGTTGAGTTGTTTCCTGGGATTTCAGACTTTCATTGCTAAAATCTAAAAGTCCTGGGCGAACGGGATGAGTTGGCCCCCAATGGGTGCTGCCTCAGCCCTTCCCTGTCTGCTCCCCATCTCCCACTCTCTCAGTTCCTTAGTAAGAAATCCTGCCTTACCTATGGGTGCCTGGGCCTCCATAACATTAGCCGATTACATGAATGGGATGTGTTCTGAGACAGCTAGAGCACTCCCATGTTCTGCTCGTGGGAGTAGTACAGAGTGATACAGTCTTTCTGGATGGCCATTTGGCCAAATGTATCAAAAGCTTTTGCAATCGTTATTCCTTTTGACTCAGCACTCTACTAAATCAAAGATGTCACAAAGTATAGACATTAACAGCAGCTGCCTCCAGTGGTGATAGTTCTTTCTTTTTGTTGCTCTTGTTGGTTTTTGTTTTTCTGCTTTTTTAAAAAACAATGAGCAGCTGTTACTTTTGTAATGACGAACATTTTTCAGTGGGTTTCTCTAGTATCTGGGTGACTGACTTGTCACTCATGAAAGCCACCACAGTCCGCAGGTTCACTCTTTTCCCTGGGTTCAGTTAGTGCCACTTGAGTCTAAGGACATTGGGAATCTCAGGAAATTATTTTCCGGGCCAGAGCTCTAGATTCATCCCAGCATCATTAGCTGGGAATGAGCCCTGCTTCTCTTAGCGTCATAATCCACCAAGGAGCTCTGAATCTCACCTGATACATATAAAACATAGTCTTCAGATACTTATATTCCTTTTCCATCTCCTCTGGACAAAATGGGGGGAAAAAATAGGGTCAACATTACATTATTGCTCTGAAATATACATTTTGAAATCCAAATGTGAGTTGTCCTGCACACCTTCCCCACCTCAAACTCATCCCCTAGGTGGTGAAACCATGGTATGCCTCAGAAATCATTCTGGAAGTTTATTAGAAACCCAGATGCCTGACCTACCCTAAAACTACTGTATCAAGCTCTCATAGGAGAAGCCCAGTATCCGTCAATAACATGCTTCCCCAGTGATTCTAATGCACATGAAATCTGAGAACTAATCCCCAGGGTAAACCTGCATCTTTGGAAGAGGAGCAAAACCTTGTAGCATGCACCTGCCTCTCTATTTTTTAAATAACATTGATTTTGAAAACAATATGCGTTCTCTTTAAAAACCTGAGAAATCAGCAAGGTCTAAATATCATCCTTTAAAAAATGCAAAGCAAAAGAAAATAAGGTTATAGAATTTCTCCTTCTCTCTGTGGATGTTAGTCTGTAAACTCAGAATTCTGAAGAAGACACACTTTGCTTTTCTCAAAGGCAGCATAAACAATAAGATAAATGGCGAACACAACCCTTATGGATTATAAGGCCGCACAAATCATAGTATGTCAGAATTTAATGAAACACCATCATTTTGAGGTGAGGAAACTTGCTGAATTAGAATAGTATTAAATTTGTAGAACTTCGAAATATATTTTAAAAAATGATTTTACATTCTTATCATTCCGATAAAAGGAGGTATTATTGTGCTCAATTCCCAGATAAGGAAACTGAGACTCCAGATTAAGGGACTTGCTCAGATCCCAAAGCTTGGTCACAGGACCTCCTATCTTTTAGGTGTAGGAAGGACGTCAGTAGACATGGCTTCCATTTTTTCGGTTTCTTTTTCAATCCTCCCTCTCCTTGAGCGATAGGAGGACACCTTTAAGGTCTAGCCAGAGGCCATCCATGGCCGTGAGAGTCCCTCAGTCCTAGTCCTGTATGGTCAGCCTCCATCCTCTTCACCATAGTCATTTTTTTTGGTTCTGAACGTACCTAGTTTTTCCTGAGAAGCCAACTTCTCTGCCTCTAAGACTGCTTTGTAGTTGTTCTTCAACTCAGTGAGCTCTGCTGCATGAGCCTCTTTGAGCTCCCTGCAAGATCCCAGGAGAAGGCCAGGATAATAATGTGTCAGCACAGGTTCATCGATTTGTAAGAAATGCACCATGTTGGTGCAGATGTCAATAACGGCAGAATTTGTGTGAGTGTGGGGTAAAGGGGTATATGGGAATTCTCTGAACTTTATGCTCTATTTTACTGTGAACCTAAAACTGTTCTACAAAAAATAAAGTCTATTATAAAATAAACAAGTTGATCAATTAATGAATTAAAAAAAATTTTTTTTTTTAAATCTAGTCTTTGACCCAATTAGGAAGACTTCTGTCCCAAGGCTTATAAGGCTACTCTGGTGCCCAGCAGGTAGCATGGAAGGGATTTTGTGGGTTTCCTCACCCACACAGATGACACACCTCCTTTCACTTTCCCTTGGTTCTCTTTGTGGTTCTGGCTCCTGCCCTTCTCATAGCTTCTTCTCGTTTTACCCAGGCCCTGACCTAGCAGCCAGGGAGAGTAGAGAAGAGAGCAGAAGTGGCAGAGGAGGATCAGGCCGAGCTGAGAACAACTGTTGTCTACTACAGAAATCTCATAGAGAACAAAAGATGGCTTTTCTCAGTAATCGACAAAAGGGGAGATTATCACGGAAATGAAATAACTAGATGAGAAAGTGCGAAACCAGGAATAATCTTCTTCGTGCTATATTTTAGTGGCCCCCACCAAACCACCCTGCTCTCCAAAGACATGTGTTTCATCTCCCTCATCCCTTGCCACCCAATGCCATTTGGCACCATCTGAAATTCCAGTGAAATGAAATCTTGAAAGGATGTGGGCACCTTAGGGCCTTTAGTGGGGGCTTGTGCCAGAAAGCATACCTGTTCTTGTTTTCAAAGTTCTGCTGCATCTCAGCACGGCGGAGATCCATTTCATCGGAGAGCTGGAAATGAGGCCAGCATTAGCAACCCAGGATGGAAGACCCGACTTCCAGTCCAATCTGCAATTTCTGAGAAGCCTTCCCATTCTCCACTCCTCATGCCCCTCTATCATTACTGTGGGTAAAGAACAATTCTTGCCTTGCTCTACGTTGTTTGGTATGTAATCATTTGTACACGAAAACCATCTCAGTCACTACCTGGTTTTGTGAGCAGGTCTGGTCTCCTCTGCTGGACTGTAGTCTCTTTGTAAGAGCATGACCTTTGGACTCTCAGTTATATAATTCAATTGAACAATCATTTCTTGAGCAAAAGGCTTGGCCTGGAAGAGCCAAAGAGGCCTAAGACTCAGACCCTGCCTTCGATGAACTTAAAATCCAATGTTAATAAATCCTCATTGGCAGAATGCTTGTGTTTGGCACGCAGGATTTGCTCCAGGTCACCCTCCATTCTAGCCCATCAGATTCTCCAGCCAGTGTCTCAGGAACAGTGGACACTTCCAAACTGGTCAGCACCCTCTGTCAGCTGAAAGAAGGGTTCAGGGCTTGTTCTTGTCCCTCTCTGACTAAATGGTGGCACCAGCACTCCTCTCTTCCACAACAATTTGGGGTGTTCACAGTTGGGAGAATTTTAAAAATGACGATCTGAGGTCCCTCCATAGAAATAATCTCTAAATATGTCTTCATAGGGCTGATGTTTCACTGAGTGAAAACGTTCATTTTGCCCAATAACACACCACTGATGAGGTAAGTGACTCTGCTCCAATTGTTTAACTTCGTGAGCCTCAATTTCCTTTCTGTAGAAGCAAACCACAAACCTGGCAGAGTTTTCAGATAAATACAGTACAATCAATTGTACAGGGGAGGGCTCAGTCTGAGTTATAAGCTGGTGCACTATAGGATTCAGAAGTGTCCGGGGAGAGTCAGAGGATGAAGGGTGGGCCTGCTGGAAATTCAGCCTTCACAAGTGGGTTTCACTACAACAGGCAAGAGTGTGTATGTGTGTGTATGTGTGTGGGGGTGGGATACTTCTGATTATCGCTCTGGTTTATCACTCCGGCCCAGACCACAAAGCACATCTGCTGGAGGTGGGGAAGAAAGACTTTGATAAAACAAATGGTAAAATCTAAAGGGGGTATCGCCAAAATCCCCAGGAAACACAGAGTGTGACTGACATCAGCAGAATCTGAAGTGCGGGCTTTGGTAGTTTCGAAAGCAACAGGAATTAGGGACTGGAGGCTTCTGGGTAGCTTTTGAGCCACACCGGAAGCACTGACTGCACTGGTGCCCTAAGCAAGAGCCTCTGCAACCTCTGAAGCTTAACTCACCACAGAGGCCTCTGCAGACCCTACAGGAAGTGGCTGGTGCCTCCTAGTGTGGAGAAGACAATGGCATTTCATTGAAATGATTGTTCAATTGAATTATATAACTGAGAGTCCAAGAACATCTCTGAGGTACTCCAAGAACTCCCAGAAATTGAATTAGGACTTGAAAAGGGTCTTGAGTTCTTATAATTATGAATGAGGATGGAGACAGAGAAATACCTTTGGGTGACCACAGTCCTATGCTGTTGCCTGGACAATGTGGCTCCCCTGAGTCAAGTGCTTAGCCTCATGCCTGGCACATAGCAGGTGATCTGAAAATATTGGTCTTTCCTCTACCCATAGAGGTGTCGGCTAACTCAAGGATCACTCACCAATTTTTCAGCAGACTTGTGATCTCTGTTCATTTGCTCTATTATCACTGTCAGCTCTGATATCTGCTCTTCTAGGTCATTAATGATATCAGTCCTACGGGATAAGTAATTCTTCATTCACAGAGCTTCTACATCATGCCCATCAGACCCCTCCCTGAACATGACTGACTCTGGCCTGGGGAGAGTGGGGCCATGTTCTGCACCTGCTCCACCATCATAGGGGTAAGGGAGGAGGGGTACAGGGGTCGTCTGGGAGAAGGAATTTGGCAGTAGGGTGGTTGAGCCTCAGACATGGTGCTTTTAGGTGAGCAAGCCAGAAGTGAGCTGGGGTGGTTTGGTGGCCTATTGAAGAGAAGGGAAAGAAAAATATGTCAGATGTCTATTAGAGTCTGACCTGGATTTGGTAATGATAGTTGAAATGCAGGAGGGAGAATGTAGGGGAATAGGATTGATACTGACAGACAAAAAATGGATCAACTGGACAAAGAGGAGAGTTAAGACAGTGGCTTTCAGAACTGATAAAGGTTTTCTGTGCTTCTGGGTCTGGGGCCTCCATGATGCCTGTAAGATTATTCGGGTCTATTTGGTTGAGCTGGAGCAGACAGGGTGGCAGTCAGTGCAGTGAAGCAGAGAGGAGGGCCTCAATTCAAGAAGGTGAGACAACAAGAGGATAAAGTATCAAGATATGAGAAAGAAGAAAGGGAATGGGAAAGCTGAACCATGGGGAACCCTCATCTTTAGAACATGATCTTCGGTATAAGCAACACTCATAGCTTCACCAGGGAATAAAACAAACATGGGCTATTCTGTTTTATTATGCCACTACTGGTGATAACTTTCTTATGAGGCCAAGAGGTGGTTGAGGGTACTGGCTTGACTCCGGGTGCATGGCCTATCTCTTCCTGCAAAGGGCCGTAGACGAGCAGGGCAAAGAAAACAGGGCCTGAGTGTTCTCACTGGAGGAAAGACAGGACTGGAGTCTGGTTTCCCCGGGCAACTCCACACATAGCCTCACTCCGCAGTGGGCTTCTGTGTTCCTCAGCTTCATCTCCAGTCTGAATCCCTTCCCAAATGAAACCACTGCTAACAGTGTGATTGTATCTTTTCTATACACTTACAAATAGGTAGGTGATGTGTGTGTGTGTTCTGTTGTTATTGTTGGTCATTTAGATTTATTTTGGAAAAATAACTTTCACAGCAATTTGAAGGCCAAGGAAAAGACACTCATTAGGGAGGCTTTTCAATAGTTCAGGTAGGAAGTAACAGATGGGGGAAGGAGAAGATAGGAATGAGAGATTTAGGAGGTAGAATGAAAAGGATGTGGGGACTGCCCTTATATGGCACTGGAGGATAGAGAGTGGGTGGAACTTAAATGACAGAAAGGATGACAGTGCGTCTAACTGGGATGGAGTCAGGTCAGAATCTTCCACATTGCATCTTCCAGAGGCAGGAACTGAGTGGTGCCTTTGGACATAATGAAAAAGAGATGCATAATTGGATCTCCCAGAAACCCTGACTTTCCTCTTAGTTCTCACTCTCCAAATTTGGACTATTTTATGAATAGTTCATCTGTTCATTACCTCTAGGAACAATTGTTCTCCTTTAGGACAAATTATGCTATACCCATTCATTTTCCGGATCAGCCACCTGACTTGACCTTTATCCTAACTAGATGGGATTGGAGTAAAGAGAGGGTGTGGAGAGGAGCAAGCTCAGGGCCGAGGCATGAAGTGACCAGCAGCACCTCCAGAACAGGGACCCTGTGGGCTGGGAGTGGACATTAGGGGTTTGTCCAGGCTTAGCCAGGCAGGGATAAGTCTGAGGAGCTGGATGTTGATCCAAAGACATTACCTGGGAATTTTGATTTTGTCCATCATCTCTGATTTCAAATGCTTCTTCCTATTAAACATCTCATCTCCCAAGGTAACGGAAATCTGCTCCCTATTTCGAATGAGGCGATAGCCAGGTGACACATTGATCACTTCCTAGACATCAAGGTAGAAGGTAATATTGCAGACTCGGAGTGCTGAGATTCCTCCGAATCTTCAACTGTGCCCTACTTACTTCTAAAAGCAGAGACATGAGATGCGAGTCCAGGGTCCAAGTCCGTCCTGTGCCCTCCCCCAGTTACCACTCACCCTCATATCTCGGGCCCACGTTTCTCTCCTGAGATTCAATTGCAAGACCCAACTGGCTCCTGGATGTCTCCACAGGACTTTCGAGCTCAATATTTACAAAACCTAACTGTTGACACCCACTCCACACCCTGGCCCCAGCCCTACTGCTCCTCTGCATTCTCCATCATGGCCAGAAGCCAGAAGGCAGAGAGCATTGTGGAAATTGTTCAGGTTTTGGAATTGAACAGGCCTGAGTTTAAATCCTGGCTCTGCCACCAACCATAGTTACTCAACATCTCTGTGCCTCAGTCTCCTCATCAGAAAATAAGGATAATAACTCTTCCTCAAAAGGATTTTGTCAAGAAAAAACAAAGTAACATCTGAGAAAATGCCTAGCACAATTGCAACAAACAAACAAACAATAACCATTGTAGTCAGTTCCTTCTCCATGCCCCACTAGATGCCCAGTCAGAAATCTGGGCAGGGCTACCAGCTATCAGAGATCGAGATACGATTGTACCTTCTAAAGTTGTACAGGACACCCCTGAAGGACCGTAAGTCCTGCCATCGTTATCTCCTAATTATATCCCAACCTCATCCTCTCCACTCACACCCCTGTCCCTGCGTAGCTCGAGGCCACTACCATCTGTCTCTCTGGCTCCTGAGATATCTTCCCAGCTGGCCTCTCTCCCCTCAGCCCGACTCCCCTAAGTTCATCGTTCTCCTCACCTGAAGGGCTATGACATTTTTGTTTAATTTTTTTCCTGCCCATGATCCTTTTTCAAGGGGGTGAGGGAGAAAGGAAAATAGATAAAAGCAGAAAGTAGTAAAAAGCATCAATTATATCCCACTAGAGGTTTTTTTTTTTTTTCCTAAAATATAAATCTTACCTTGTCTCATTCCTGTGTTAGACTCATAAAGGCTCCCAGACATCAAAAAGATTAGGCCCAAACTCCTAGGCAGATGTCAAGGTCCTTCTAGGTTCGGTCCCCATCTCTTTCTCCAGCACACCCTGTCCCCTAATCCCTCAGGTTTCCTGATAGTCCCTCGCCCAATATTTGTGGGTTCACAAGTGTGACAGAGGGTTTTCTGCACCTAGGCATGAGCTGTCCCCTGGCCCGGACTGATTGTCACCATCTGGTTTCCCTGAGCACTCTCCTCACCCTACACAAAAGAGTAGAGAGATAATTAAATGCCCTCTCTGGGATCTGGCTGAGTCGAATTCAAGTCTTGATCCTGCCACTTAGCAGCCATAAACTATATGCAGTAATTCCAGCACATCCTCACAGGACCATTGCAAAGATTCAACGAAGTAAAAGTAGGTATAAAAGGCCCATGCCTGCACACAGTAGGTACTCAATAACTGTTAGTCCGTGCACCCTCTTCCCACTTTTACTCACATAAGGTAATTGATTGCTCTCCTCTTGTTTTCCTAACTGGATTTTCACTCTGCAAGAAAAAGTCGTGCTCAGAAGCCACCGGAGAGTAAGATGTTCCAAGCTTAGGAGCTGCGTCCTGACCCCACCACTCATTTGTGAGAAGTGACGTTCCTAGGATGACCTCAGAGACCTCTTTCAGTTCTCAAAATATGCTACTTCAGGAAATAGGGAATATTTAATGGTCCAGGGATCACTGGTATAAAGATTGTGATAAAATGGCAGGTAGTAAAAAAGTGGAAAATCTACTAGTCACTAACCGAATAGTAGACCCATTTCTGAAACAAAACCAAGAGACTTGGTGTGAAGCCTCACAGGGCTCTCCGGTGAGCATGGTGCATAATCTTAAATGCACACATCTTTGGGTGGCAAGTATGCTGTCTGCACAACCACCTTTCTTCTCATTTGCACGAGAAATTGGTGTTCCGGGACCCCGAAATTGCCAGTTAAGTGAATTCGGGATAAGCAAAGTGTTCCTAATTTGAGATCTGGTGCTAACCCTGATCATAATAAATGTTTGTTTCCGCAGACAAGAAACATGAGCATAATATCAGGTACCCACATATCAAAAGAGTATTTGTAAGGGAGGTCACTGAGAAGGTGAAAGATTAGAATAAGAGCAACTAGCTTTTGATGTGCTGACAAGAGTAGGCAGGCTTAGGGCCTCTCCCCTTGGCCTCAGTGTCCACTCACACATGTGCACACGCCATCAGGCAAACGCTGTGGAGAGAGACAAACAAAACATGTTGCAGAAGTTCCATTTCCCCATGACCAAAACACCCACAACACCATTAAGGGTGGCGGAGTTGGTTACCGGGGTGGGACAGGTCCAGAGTCCATGGGTGACTTTGGGTGTGCGCAGTGGGGTTGGAAGGACTTTTCCTAGTGGAAGCAGTTCCATCTTGGTTAATAACCATCCGTCTAGTTTTGACCCTACGTTTCCCACCCCTAGAGGGGGCCTCCAGATAGGCACCGAGAACTCTCTTGAGAAAACCAGTCCAAGGTTTGGGCTATCTTAGATGCTACCAACCTTTGATTTTAGCTTTCACTGGCAAAATAAAACAAACAAACAGAAAAATGATTCTGTGTTTTAAAAAGTGGGCACGAGTGTATATTATACACAGATAATACAATGGGACCCACAGGTAATTTAAAAGATTTAGAACCATTTAAAATGCAACTCGACTCATATCAACTATACGTTCCCCTTTAACTGTCCGCAATGCTAATTTGGTTTGCTTCCACTGAATTTAGGAAAGCCTTGTGGGGGAACCACTGGGTGGCCTGGATCTCTTTAAAAAGCTGACCATGGATTTGAGCTTACGTCTTTTTTGCTCTTGGTTGTTCTCCTTAGGCGGACAGAGACCTTCCACAGCATCGCATTAACTTTAGAACTGTCAGAAAGGTCAAAGTGTGACTACAGAGATACTCATTTTGTCAGATAACTGTGTGTGTCTCATGAAAAGTAAAAGGTGAGGTCAATCCAGAATGACTCTCTTTCCTCTTTTTGTCCTTGTCAACCTGATACTCAGATCACTCTGATCACATTGAGCAAATTTTGACACTTTGTTGACACCAATTGAAGTACTTCACGTTCAATGAGTGGTTAATGTATGCAGACCACAGGGCTCCGTACCAAGAGAAACGAATGAGATATTTTTATTTAAGAAGAGAGAAAAAGAGACACATAAATACTGAAAATAGGAGATGAAGAAGAGGTAAATGCCATAGAGAACTGCAGATAAAGCGATTTGCCCACTGTGTCTCTCAGGTTGAGAGTTCCTTCTAGCTATTGACATTTCTCAAGGTTCCTGATATATTAAAACAAACAAGCAAACAAAACCCAACCCCTAAGAATTGTCAAAACAGGATTACAACAATCATGTTATAATTTATATTGAAGAATTGAAAAGTTTTAACACAAAAATCACTCTCTCTGTTTGCAAGAACATTATAGGATTCACACAAAAAAGACATAATGCACAGTTGAGATTGTGTGTTTGAGGCCTGAGGCCCAAGTAAGAAGCTGACTGATGAACAGGTCCTATTTGGAGGTTGTGTCAGCTGCTACCAGGAGTAGCTGGCCCTCCTGCACCCGGCTGCTTCACTTCCCAGCCCTGCTCAGCACCGCCTGGACAGGGCCTGGAGGCCAGCTGACAACCAAGTGTGTCTGCTTCGAACTGGTTTTAGAGGATGGCTTGTTTCAGGGAAGAATTTGCCTTGAAGAGTGTTACTGGAAAGTCATAAATACAAATACAAAGTCATAAATACAGTAGCCCGAGCTGCGGGCTACTGAATCCAGCAGTACTGCTCGGCCCTCATCTTAACTGACTCACCGGCAGTTTTTAACACAGATAACGAGATCCTCCTTCTTGGAGTATTTGTCATTTTGCTCCCACGACACCAGGTAGATGATTCATCTGCCTCAAGGTCTTTGATAGAGAATTTAAAAAGTACACACAAAGTGTCTCACTATATTACAAAGCCAGAGGAGGACAGTGTTGTCAGGGGCTCATGGTAGTGATCAGACTGGAGCTGTGGGTGTTAGTGAGGTCGCTCCCAGCAAGAGGCACTGGGTGACTGCGGACTTGAGCTCACCTATTAATGCGGAGGTTAGAGAAGATCCACAGGTGTGATCATGCCAGCAGGGGCCAGCACACAGAAGGCAGGCAGTGAGGACCCATTTCACTCATACAGCCAGTCAGTGGATCCCTGTCATGACCAGGCTGTGCTACCACCACTCTATTGAAACAATTCCCTTCATTGTCTCTGATCTGCGGGCTACTGAATCCAACAGTACTGCTCGGCCCTCATCTTAACTGACTCACCGGCAGTTTTTAACACAGATAACGAGATCCTCCTTCTTGGAGTATTTGTCATTTTGCTCCCACGACACCAGGTAGATGATTCATCTGCCTCAAGGTCTTTGATAGAGAATTTAAAAAGTACACACAAAGTGTCTCACTATATTACAAAGCCAGAGGAGGACAGTGTTGTCAGGGGCTCATGGTAGTGAGCAGACTGGAGCTGTGGGTGTTAGTGAGGTCGCTCCCAGCAAGAGGCACTGGGTGACTGCGGACTTGAGCTCACCTATTAATGCGGAGGTTAGAGAAGATCCACAGGTGTGATCATGCCAGCAGGGGCCAGCACACAGAAGGCAGGCAGTGAGGACCCATTTCACTCATACAGCCAGTCAGTGGATCCCTGTCATGACCAGGCTGTGCTACCACCACTCTATTGAAACAATTCCCTTCATTGTCTCTGATCTGCGGGCTACTGAATCCAACAGTACTGCTCGGCCCTCATCTTAACTGACTCACCGGCAGTTTTTAACACAGATAACGAGATCCTCCTTCTTGGAGTATTTGTCATTTTGCTCCCAGGACACCAGGTGGATGATTCATCTGCCTCACGGGCAGCTCCCTCTCAGTCTCCTTTTTGGATCCTCCTAGTCTCTCCCACCTCTCGACACTGGAGTGCTCTGGGGCTCAGCTCTCCCACCTCTTCCCACCTCTAGCTCCATTTCTCACCTTGGAGATCTCACTTGGCTGCAGGGCTCTAAGTACCGTGTATATGCTGATGACTCTCAAATGTGCATCCGTAGCCCTGACCTCTCAGACTTGCTTATCCAACTACTTACCTGACATTGCCACTTGGATATTAAGAGGCACCTTGAACTGCCTGAGCTCAGTCCCCTACACATACGTACGCCCCTCGGCCTTCCCCAATCTGAGAAAATGGTGACTCCGCCCTTTCTATTGCTTAGCCAAAAATCTTGAAGTCACCCCTCTTCCCCCTCCCCTCTTATTTTATAACCATCCCATTAGCAGATCCTATGGGTTTCTACTTCAGAATATATCCAGAATGTGACCACTTCTCACCACCTTTGCTGTTTCTACCAGGTTCAATTACCATCATTTCTTGCTTGGATCTTGTCTGGTCTCCTTTGGCTTCTCCCAAGACTTCTGCCCTTGGCCATTACACTCATTTATTTCTCAATGCAGTCGCCAGATTAGTCTTTTCAAAATGCAAGTTGGATCATGTCACTCTTCTCAGATTCACCTGATGGCTTCACAGCTGTTATGGGCTAAGTTGTGTCCCCTTCCCTCTATTCATATGTGGAAGCCCTAACCCCTGGTATCTCAGAATATGACTATATTGGAGATAGAAGGCATTTAAAGAGGTGATTAAGATAAAATGAGGCCATTCATGTGGGTCCTAATCCAATCTCACTGGTGTTGTCATAAGAGAGACAAGGACACACAGAGAGCCTCCAGGGTTGTGCATGCACAAAGGAAAGACCACGTGAAGAGGCAGCAAGCGGGTCATCTGCAAACCAGGAGAGAGTCGTAAGAGGAAACCAACCTGCCAGCACCTCGATCTTGGACTTCGAGACTCCAGAACTGTGAGAAAATAAATTTCTGTTGCTTTAGCCACTCAATCTTTTGTTGTGGTGGTCGTTGTTATGGCAGCCTTCGCAGCTAATACACCATCCCTTTCAGAGTAAAAACCAAAGTCCTTACGGTAGCCAGCAAACTTCGGTGTACGTTTTCTGTTGCTGCTGTAATGAGTTACTACAAGCTTAGTGGCTTAAAATAACACCAATTTATTATGTCATAGTTTTATAGGTCAAAGTCTGCAGTGGATCTCACTGGGCTGGAGCTGAGGTGTTGGCATGGCTGTCTTCCTCCTAGAGGCTCTAGGGAAAATCTGTTCCTTTGTCTTTTCCGGCTTCTAGAAGCTGCCCCGTTCCTAGTGGCCTTTTCCTTCGTTTTCAAAGCCAATAACTGCTTCACTCTGATCTCTGCTTCTATTGTTACATCTCCTTCTCTGACACTCTGACTTCCTCTTTCATTTATAAGGACCTTTATGTTTACATTGGACCCAGCTAGATAATCCAGAAGAATCTGATTATCTCAAGGTCATCTGATTAGCAAACATAATTCCTTCTGCAATCTTAATTTCCTCTTGGCAAGTAACACAACATGGTCACAGTTTCTAGGGATCGTGACGTGGACATCTCTGGGGGACCATTGTTCTGCCAACCACATTCATCATTTTTATTACTTCTCTTAGCTCATCTCCACCTCTCTCTCTTCACTTCCTCCCTTCCCGCCACATTAACCTCTGCTATCCTGAAAAAGGCCAGATGTGCCGAGCAAGTTCTCACACACAGCCTTTGCACTTGCCGTTCCTTCTGCCAGGTGTGCTTGCCCCAGATGTCAGTGTGGCTCCTGCTGCCCTCTTTCCACAGGGGCTTCCCCTGGTCTCCCTGTATGAAATAACAACGCTAAGCTCCAGGAGAGTGGAGACTTTGTTGAGTTCACTGCTCTTGCCCACACCTGAAACAGTGCCTAGCAAAAATAGGTACTCAATAAATATTTTCCAAATAAATAAATAAATGGAATACAAAGACTCACTCAAAGACGTAAAACTAAGCTTATAAAATAGGAATAAAAATTTAAATTTGTAAGTAAAAATAGAGCTGCAATTTACAGAACATCTTAGACCCAGGAAAGTAATCAGTAAACGATGAGATATCACCAACAAGAGGCTCTTCCCCTCTGACAGGCATCAAGCATTGTGCCCCTTAGTGCAGGAAACCTTAGCTCATTTGTAGTGACTGAATGCTGTGGGTGCAGAGGGCCACAGAATCTACATGTAGGGTCTGAGGTTTGGGGGTAATCAAGGTGGGTTCTGGCAATTCTCTGACATTCCTGGCAGCAGTTAGTTCAGGTCAGGTAAGGCTGTGAAGGCCAAGGCTGTGAGGGAGATTGTTTTATTCACATACCTCAAACCATTCCTGCCCCATGGACACAAAAATACTTACTTTGGGGAGACAACTGGTTTTGTTGTTGGTTGGACAAAATTTTGTTTTTTTGAAGCTGGAGGAAGAGGAGTTAGCCTGAAAGTAAAAAATAAATAACAAAAAGAGGAAATTAGAAATTCAGAAACCTGTTTTAGTATTTCCAAATTAGGTAGATCCCCACGGTGACCCCAAATTGAAATATGTGGGCTGACAACTGGAATCTTTAAAACCAGGGTGGTTTTTGGCCAACTCAGACCAAATGCCTTGGCACTCGTTCACCATCCTGGGGAGTCCCTGGGTTGACAGCACAGCTTGTTCCCCAGTTTCCAAAGCTCCTGGTCCCACCTGAAGGGGGCAGTTTCCATAGGCCCTTTGGTTGAAGGCTTCGCTTTCCCCGTTGCACTAACTCTGAGAACTCCTCATTTAAGATGACACTAAGCCGTGGCAGGACCGGCAAGAGCAACGTGCAGCCAAGAGGCTGGCCGGTGAGAGCTGTGCAAAGCTAGGCTTTCTGGCCCTCTTGGGATTTTACTACTAAATTGCCTGTTTTGGAACCCAAGCCCCCAGGCCCTGGTCCATCCAGGTAATCCTTACTGGGGCTTCCCTGTGAAGCTCTTTCTTGGTGGCTGAGTGGTCTTGATTAGTTTCCGTGGACCCAAGTTCCAGGGGTCCCAGCAGGTACAGTACATGAGAGGGTTGGGGTACATGGCAGGAAGTCCGAGACAGTCTTGGCTGCTAGGTCAGGAAGCCCTTGCTGAATGGGAAAACAACAGCAGAGAGTTAACACCATTCAGAGTCAAAGTGACAACACTTAGAGACAAATTGAGAAGGACTCAGGAAAGGCCCAAAGCATGGATGGTAGAGTCTGAAAGCTGTTGATTTGGTAAATGGTCTTGACTATAAAATAGCACCTCACCCCTTGTCACCCAGTAGGCTTGACGTGAAAGCAATTTAATGTTTGCTATAACTGAGTGCTTCCTGTGAGCCAGGGGCACAATGAGCGATTAGTTATCCTTATCCTAATTTTATTTATTTTTATTTTTTATTAAATTTACTGGGGTGACATTGGTTATGTCATCCTAATGTTATAGATGAAGATACTGAGGCTCAGAGAAGTCACGGAGATAGCAAGTTGCAGAATTGGGAACAAGCACAAGCCTACTGACTCCAAAGCCCCTACTTTTCCCTTAGGTCACACTAGTGCTCATTGAAGTGAAAAGAAATCCCTACAGCAGGTCTTACACAGAACTTTCCAGAAAATTAGCTCTGTTATTCAAATTAAATTGGATCTCCCAGTTTCTCATTCCTGGCCACCTGCCTGAATTACAGTCAAAACTCTTCCTTCTTGGCTTTTATTATAATAATAATAAGAAAGAAAACAAAAGAAAACAAAAATCCCTACTGTGAAAGTTTACATGAAAGACAACTACCAGATAAACATGGAGACTTGCTCACTTGCTTATCTTTTTTTTTTTCTTTTTTCTTTTACAGAACCCCACTGAAAGGATTGGAAGAGATTTAATTCTATAAGAATAAAGAGAATGGGAGGGGAGGCAGTATTGGCACAAGTGACGTCAATATACATTTGGCGCTATAACTTCCTCACTTAGCACAGGATAGGAAGCTAAAGCTCACATGTTTGCAAAAGGGATTTGACCCAGGAGCCCATTCCCATGCGAAAGGCTCCACAGGGCTCAGAATTGGGGCTGATACATTATCTGATGAAACAGGCATTTCACTGATCTGTGGGAGCCTGCAGTAGGTTGAATAATGCTCCTTCCCCTCTCCCCACAAAACATGTCCATGTTTTAATCCTTGGAATCTGTGAATATGTTACTTTATGTGACAAAAGCTTTGTAACTAATGACTAAGGAAGGATCTTGAGATAGGGAGATTATCTAGATTATCTATGTGGGCCAAAGGTAATCACAAGTGTCCTTAAAAAAGGAAGGTGGGAGGGGCAGAGTCGGAGAAAAAAATGGTCAGATAGGAGTGATCAAGGAAGGAGTCATGAGCGAGGAAAGTGGACAGCCCCTAAAGTGGACGGCCCCTAAAGTGGACGGCCCCTAGAAGCTGGAAAAGGCAAGGAGATGATTCTCTCCTAGAACCTATAAAAGGAACAAAGTCCTGCCCCACACCCTGGTTTTAGCCCAGTGAGAACCATTTTAGATTTCTGACCTCAGAACTGTACATTGGTGTTGTGTTAAGCCACTAAATATGTGGCAGTTTAATATAGAGCATTAGTAAAAACAAACAAAAACAAAACAGAAAATTGGGGTAAAAATTAGCAACAGAAACATAGAAACATAAGAGAATAAAAATTGCATGATTACTCCAGATTAAAAAATATTTTATAAAAAGTACACATAATCATAATAAGATACACACTTATATATATTTATATAAACAATAGCAATTTAACCAAAAAGCAAATTATGACCACACTGAAAGATTGTGGGGAGGGCATTGGAGGAAGGATGTGTAAGTGTTAAATCCTCATCTACTATTATCAAGAAGTCAATAGAAAATGTCTAAACTTGAAAAATTAACAAATGGAGTAGAGACGGATTAGAAGTATGAAGTTAAATTACAAAAGAAATTGCTAAAAGTGTTGAAAATAATTACCTCTAGGGAGCTTTGAGGGAACACACTAAGTAGAACTGAGAAGTAAGGAGGGATAGGGCAGAAATCATAACTTTTCGTTAATGAATTTTTAACACAATTTGATTTTTAAATGATGTTGGTGAATTACTTGATAAAAAATAAAACAAACACCAAAAAATGCTTTGAGAGCCAAGAAACCAGCAGAAGCATTATAGTGATAGCAGATTTAATTCAAATTTCTAAGTCAGTGACTGGTTTCCAATAGTACACTGGAATAAATTTGCTTAAGAATCAGCTGAAAAATGAAATGAACCCTTTTCTATAGCGTGAGATGCTTGAGAAACCCAGTTATGTGGTCAAATGGTTTTTAGAGCTAAAGGGGACCTTAACATTGAATCTTTTTTGTAGATGAGGAAAGTGAGACTCAAAGCCACAACTGACTCCAGGCCACCTGTACATGCTCACTTAATAGCACAGATACTTATAGCTCCTGTTGTGAGTACCATGCTAGATGCTGGGCGATACTGAACACTTGCCCCTTCTCCTCAGGGAGCGTGCAGGCAATCGGGCAGTCATCAGAAAGGGAACTGAGTGAGCTGTGGCACCAGGGCAGGAGACAAAACCTTGAAGAAAGGCAGGATGTGCAGGTGGAGGTAAGTGCAGGAGGGGCTGCCATATTTAGCTGTTTGTTTGGGGCCCAGGTCAGGGAGGCAGATGGGGGTGGAGCACCCCAGGTGAGAAGACAAAGCCACAGAGCCTAGAATTCAGGTGAGAAGCTGAGAAAAGGCTGTAGGAGTAACAAGACAGTAGCTTTGCTTCTGCTTAGGATCTTGCATCAGCTTCCTGTGAAGACAGGGGCCAATCCCGAGCTCGAGGAAGTTAGCAGGAGTTTCTGAGGAAGGAAGTGAGAGGCTAAGGCCGGCGAGCTCCCAGCCACTGCCTTCCCTTTTCCATTTCTTGCCTGACCATCTGACTGTGCCATTCTTGAAGGCCTGGACTTCACTATGTCTTTTTCCATGTTGCCAACAGAGCCTGGCAAGGCCACTTGTCCACAATGAGTATTTGATAAATATTTGTTGCCTGACTAATAAACTGGGTGGCTGTAACCACAAGGACCAGCTCAACGAGGAGAAAACAGATCCGCAGTTGAAACTGCAAAAATGTAACGGTCATTACAATATTATAGATAACATTAAAGTTAGAATTAAAAAACCAAGAGGCATAGGTAAATTATGGCACAATCATTCAATGGAGTTTTACACAGATTTTAATTGACCACTTTGAAGCCTGTTGAAAAATGAAGAAATGCTATTGAATAAAGAAATAAAATGGTATGTACATGATGGATACAATTACGTGGAAGTATGTACCTATATGGAAAAGGGTTAGAAAAGAATATATTAAAAAATAAAAATTGGGCCAGAATGTTGGGATTATGATTTTTTTCTCTTCACATTCTTTACTGAAATTTTCCTTGGGCTTTTGAGTCAGATGGGCCTGACTTTGCATAGAGGCTCCTTTGCTTATCAGCTGTGGGGTATTGAGGAATTTACTGTTACTTTTGTGAGTCTCAGTTTTCTCATCTGAGAAAAATAGGGACATGGGGGTTCACCCCTCATTGGGCCATCGTGCACATGAAACGAGACCTTGCCAGGGACTTCCTTGCATACACTAGGTTCTCAAAAACTGGCAAGTGAGTTTAGGCTCATAGTATTCCTAAACTCGCTTGCCAGTTTTGATTTGGGTAGAATAGGTTTATTTGTGTGTGAGTGTTAAATCGAAATAGGCTCATTGTAAAGAAAATTATAACACAGAAGAGCCTAAGGAAGTAAAAATTATCCAAAACATTAACACCTAGAAATGACAACTGAAAATATTTTGGTTAATGTTTTCTAGAATTCTTTCTAAAGAAACCGATTTATATAATTGTCCATAAACAGGAACAAACTCTCTTTACATTGTAGATAATCTTTTTTCCAACATTGTCATGAGCTTCTTTAATGTCAGCAACAATACATATCTCATTTTTTTAAACTTAAGTTTACTGTGGAGAAATTTTTTAAATGTACAAAAGTAGAGAAAAGAGTATAATGAACTCACACATGACCTAGCTTCAGTAGTTAGCAATTTGTGACTAATCCCATACATCTATACTCGACCCACTCCTCCAACACCAGAATATTTTAAGGCAAATTTAAAACAAATATATAACTTAAATTATATTTACGGCAAATCTTTAAAGCACGTCTGATATTTGTTTCTTTGTCATCATGACTGTGTAAATTTCTCGTCTATAAATGTACCTGTTTTTACAAGTTTTGTATTGATGAACATTTTGTTGTTTTCCTTTTTTTTTCCCCATTATAAAAAATACAGCGATGTATATTCTTTTGCTTTTAAAAAGTAAAGGCCTCTCCCTCCAAATACCCCTGGGGATGATACTTAAAATATTTAACAACCAGTAAGACAAGGCTATGGAACAATCAGACAGACATGGGCTGCAGGGCTGGGACAGGAAGCTGGAGGGTCCCACTCCTGCCCTCCTGCCAGGCCTTAACCCCTTAGCTGCTGAATCACGAGGAAGACAGGGGAGGGGCTGGGGCAACCAACGTGGCAGGAAAGACACTCAAGGGGCTTGGACAATGTACACGTACAACCAGTACGGCAGAATTTCAATATTTCAGTAACCGTGCATACCAGCCAAACATCAGCCCTCAACTCCCAGTACTCTCCCAAGGGGGAACCACTGTTATTTTTTAGTCTTTTTCCAGAAATATTTTCTATGTGTATGTATATATTTAAAAATTTTATGTAAATGAGAGCATACTATGCCATGCTTTGCTCTTTTTACATGACAGACTATATAGTAGTTATTTCCATATCAGCACAGATAGATCTACTGTATTCACAGTGGCTTGATGTTGCCTCGTATGGCTTTATAAGGGTGTGTGTGTGCATGTGCGTGTGTGATTTAGGATTCTTTCTCCCCATTCTTTTCCTTTCCTGCATCTCTCTCTAATGATTTTACACGAGTCTAAGTGGACTGAATGTTCCAACAGGTGACCCTGTAGTCACCAATGAGCCGGCTGAGCCTTCAGAAAGTTCACTGGTAAGCGTTAATAACCAAAAAGAAAAAAGTTATATAACATATCTCTTCCAAAGAGCTTACCTTGGATTGCCCGAAGATCTGTTTTTCTCATGTGGTTCCTTGCCGAGTCGAGAGTCTTAAAGACACCACAGTGTTGTAAAGAAACTGTTTCCCATCAACACAAAATCTGAATTCATTTTAGGTCAAATCCAGAGGTTCCAGAACTCAAGACTTTGTAACGGTCATTTCAAGTGATTGAAATGCCAAAACAGAAAATGCAGAGTCTGTGTAGTACAGACAGACAGACTTCTAGTGAATCCGGCCACAGGCTTTTATAAAGGCTGAACTGGCATGAGCACGAATGTCCCTTCTAAAGATAATCCAGTTTGAGTCTTTCAATGTTGCAAAGAAAGTCAAACTAGGAGAGAAAGTTACCCGTTCATTCTGCTTCTCTTGAGTTGGGCCTTGAGTTGTGAGGTTTGTCCTAGGGAGATGGCAGGCAAAGGTTTGTTTTTTTATTGCTATGGAAACAGAATGGCAGCATCTCACTCAGGCGCTCTGCTCTTAAAGAGAGAGAAAGCTGGAGAAACAGTCTGTCAAGGAATTCCCCAAGACATGAGACAAAATATGCTTAGGATATACTTTCAGAGGAAACAGAATTAAACAGCACTTAATTGGCCTATGGCAGTAGTTGTCAGACAGAATCTGTGATGTATTTTAAGTTCCTCTGTCATTTGCTCACAGACACTTAAAACTCTAAAGTAGGCACTTTCTTCCTTGAATTTCAAGCTTTGAAATCTGCAAAAGTACAAATCCCTCAGGGCAGAAGTCTTTTTCAGTTGCGAGGTGCCAACATTTTTTTTTTCTAAATAAAGCTGCTTTTTCTCATTATAGAAAAAAGTGCTTATTATAGACCAGTGGTTTTCATTTTATGTTGCTGCAACTCACTATATTTTACACATTTTATAATAAAAAGTTGTATAAAATAATACCTTTATTACATACTATTCTCATTTAGTTCTTTTCCTTCTGTTTAAAATGAAAGCTGATTATAAATCCACTATATTACTTTCATGATCCACTGACGGGTCACAACCCATAGTTTACAAAACATTGTTATAAATTCATCTATTCATTCTACTCCACATTTATTACCTACTGCATTCCAGGCACTTTCGTGAGATATAGGGATATACCTCGGTTCTTGTGCTCCACAGAGCTTAGAGACTAGCAGGGAAATGACAACTAATGAGTTCAATGAAAGCACAATGAAGCTTACTTTAAGGGCCTCAGCAGATGCAGTGTGAGTGTATAGCAGGGATTTCTCTTCTAATCTAATGAGTCAGACAACAGTTTTAATCAGAGAAGGAAATCTGACTAGCTTTGCATATTAGAAATATCATTTTTACTGAAAGGTAGAGAAACAATGGGAGGGTCCAAATTAGCAGTCTATGCCAGTGGTCAAATTAGACACAGTGGTGGCCTCATCTGAGGGAGCAGCAGTGGAAATGGAGAAAAGAGGATGCAATAGGACATGATTGATTGGATGCCAGGGTGAGGGAGAGCAGGCAATGATGATTCCTGGGTTTCCTAGCTCAAGTATTCGAGTAGATGGCAGTGTCATTTATTGAGATGGAAAAATCTGGGGGATAAACAGGCTCAGGGGAGCAGATTTTGACTTCGGACTTGGACGTGTTGAGTTCGAGATGCCAGGGAGACATCCAAATAGTGATGTCTGTTACAGAGTTCATTTCATGTTACGGGAGTTCAAAAGAAGAGTCTGGGCTAGAAACACTTGAGTTTTCAGAGCAGATAATATTTAAAGCCAAGAGAGTGGATGAGCTCACACTGTGAAAGGATGGTGTGCAAGAAGAGAAGAAGGTGTGGAACAGAGCCCTGAGGAATCCAATAGTTGTAATAGTATTTCTCAATGTGTTACTTATAATATGTACAGCTATCACTTGAATGAAAGTGGCTTAAACCAAAGAGGTTCATTAATTGCATGAAATACAAAGTATGGAGGTGGTGCTACCAGAGTGTATGCAGACTCAGCCGTGTCATCGGAGAACTGGGCTCTTTACATCTATGATGCCATCCTCAGTGTGTGGACTGAGGGGAGCCTTGTGGCTGCACGATGACTCCTGCACCATTAGCAGACAAGGTGGAGTCAGACTGCAAAAGCTAAAAGCGAGGGAATGAAGTTATAAAGAGAACGATGGCTAGCTTTGAGTAGTCATCCACTAGAGATTGGATATTTACTTCGCGTCTGTTTACCGTGTGAAATTTTACATTTAAATGCTTTCTTATGATTTAATAAGAGCAGGATTTGGGTCTTGTGTGGAGAGTGGCTAAAAACAAAGATAAAAAGGAAGCATCTACTTGACTTGGCCAAAGCTTGACATTAATTACCACTACTTTGGGATTTCCCCCTTCCTTTCCTCTTTTTAATATTAGTACAACTTTGTCAGCTCCAAAATGGCAGAGGGGAAGGAAATGAAGGCTTTTAGGGGCTAAGCATTAACTGTTCTTCTCTTTGGCTGAATTTAGGGAAACTTAAGCATTGCATGAAAGCCTCTTCCAAGGCCCAGGAAGGGGTCTGATACTACTAACATTAGTGATTTTGCTGAGAAGGCAAGAAAAAAAATACATTTTATGAAATAATACTTTGATCTTTATATATTTGACTTTTCTGTATTTTTCTCTAACTTCTCACATCCCCTTTACTCATACTTTCTCAAAAAAAAAAAACTAATGAAAAATAAAAACTGAACTTTATACTAGCACAACTCAAACTTAATGTAATAAACAGAGATGGAAGTCAATAGGATGCTGAAAGCAACAAAAATAAGATCTGTTTACTATTTATGACTATTGTTGGTTTGTTTTGTGGTTTGACAAATAGAGATTGTTTTCTCTACCCAAAACAACACAGTGGAAAGAAAGATCTAATGCAGGACTATCTGTGAAAAGAACTGGGACAAATACACAGGAAGACAAACGAAAATTTAAGAAGGTACTCATGTTTATTATCTGATTTACATTTGACAAAGCAAAGGCAGGTGCAACAAAGAGCTGTTTGACAAAGTCAAGCCCCCAGATATCAAAGAACGGTATTTCCCTGGCCGACCCAGAGGGCACTTGGCCACTCCTAGGCAGCCGTGCTCTGCAATGCAGCCATTCATTCTAGACACTGCTGTGCTGCACTTGGGAGTGCAGGCCCATAGGTCTGACGTCAAAGGAGGGGACCATAATACACAGCGCAAGTTCCAGATGTCAAAAATCGACTTTAGTAATCAACAAGTAGTACTAATTATGCACCAGAATGGTCAGAAAAAGTAACAGGCTTTCAATACTGTATAAAATACACCCTTTATAGAAGAGGCTCTTGTTGTGAGCTGCCTTTCTCCCCTTGCCAAAATCTGTTCATTCATGTGAAATCAAGGACATGTGGTATAAAACTTTTTAAAAAACTACTTTAACAATGGTTAGCTTCTTCCTAAGATTCATGCCTAAGGTTATTTACATAAGATTTGGATCATCATCATTCAAAAGAGCTTTTAATTCTGAGCTTACAAAGGTATCCCTCTTACTATACAGTAGGATACTCAGAAATACCTGAGGTATAATCACTGAGAACCTTCTTGAAGGAGAAAAAAAAAGATTGGAGTTTCCTATACTGGCATATAAATACGTATACAGTTGATACAGAAAAACTAAAATGTGAACAGTATTAAAGTATACAGATAAAATGAGGAGGAACTTGCTACAAGGCTCCAGTTCTTCTGACTATATTTTGCACACGTTTGTTATAACAAATTTTTGGGCTGTAGCAAAAATGATTTTAGGTCAAAACTTCAAAAAATAGTAAAATCCAATTCAAAACAGGGTTCATTTCTAGAGACAAGCACGCATCAGTATACAATTATGTTTCTGGTGGAACAGCAACATCAATCTAATTTTTAAAAACCTAAGTTTGGTTATCTTTAATCAGATGTGCTTATTTGGCTATGAATACACCCTCGCCCTTCCTCCAAAGTGATCATTTTAGCATCGGTTATAGAAAAGTATACTAAGTAGAGAATACTTCAAAACCTAGCATAATTTATAGCTATTTACATAATAGATATAAATCTGATAATTTAACACTTTATACTGCTCTCTAGCCCTATATTTTCCTACTTCCTAAAGTCTCTTAGAAACTGGCAACAGGAAGATTACTTTCTTAGAGAATAAATAAAAAGCTTTAAGAACTGGCTAAAATAAGCACCCCAGAGTTTCTACTTTATGAAGTAGAAACTCGAACACTATTTTTTAATAAGCAAATTGGGATATTTTGGAAACAGTAAAACATCAGGAATTCTTCTGGCCAATTCCTACCCCATTCGGGGACTTTTACATTCACTAGTGGATCTGTGGGAATCCTTTCTGAACAGGTCTGCACTGTAAGGTCTCCTGACCTCAGCATGACCAAGACAAGGGGAGCGAAAGTGGGGAGGATACTTTCACTTCTGTTTTTAAGAAACTGATTTAGAAAAGGTTTATTAAAAGATTCTAAAAAGCACAGAAAACTCACACATTCTTACCACTGCATGCATGTTGGTTTTTCTACCCTTTTGTTAGCTCTTCATGTAGGAAGGCACCTCGAGAGGAGAGAGGAAGAACCCTCCTCTGGCCCGGGAATAAGAGTTTCGGAGAAAATCACAGGAGCAAGACTCTTACCAAGAATATCAGAAAAGTCCTTTCAGTTAAGTCAGAACAAAGGAGCAAAGGATTTGCAAATTAAGCACCAAAAAGTCAAGTAATATGCTTCCCATTTTCAAAAATAAAAGAGTTAGCCCCCTCCCTCATCTTCTATCATGCCTTTCAATATAATGGTGTTTCTTTCTGAACTGCCCTTTCTAGATAAAGCCTGTCCTCTGACGGGGAACAGCGGACCTTGATCCTTAACACTCAGAAAACAGATCTATTTCTTCCCAATTCGTAGCCTCGCGTCACAATGCTAAATGCTGAAACATAATTCTCCTTGTTTCACTTTGCCATTTCACATAGTTTGTAAAACAAACAAAACACCAGCAGAGAAAAAGCAAAAGCTTTAACTCTCTCATTAAAAAGTTCATACTATAATTTTACAGATATCTAGAAAAAGGCAGATGTGCTTTAATTTTATTTTACATTAAGAAAACCAGTCTCAAAGCAAGCATCTGGCTTTTAATTAAGTTTATAATAATTTAATAATTTGCCTGAGAAATTTTGTGCAAATACACGTTGTCTTTCATTAGAAATATGCATAGCACACTTTGGAAAAAGTTTAGTTGCAATCAACTTTCCTTATAAAAAAACCTTAGACATAAATATATAACATTCTTTAATTCCTACTGATTGTACTTTTGGTTTAACCCCATCCAGGAAATTTGAAAGCTTCCAAGGAAATTTGAAAGACATGCAATTATGTTCATACTCCTTGGCCACTATGCTTATCCAGAAATCTTCTGAAAACAAGTTTCCTTGGTTTTACTTTACCCATATTTCCTTCTTAAATTAAACCCCTTCTACCATCCCCGCTATCCCTCAATATACATTCTGGATTGTTGTAGTAAAATACAGACTTAAGAAAATGAACTTTTGTTAATCACAAATACAAAAGGAGTTTGGGTGGTGTTTGGGCTCCCAGTGGTTTGAAGTCCTGAAAACAGAAAGCAAAAAGGGGGGCTCCACTATTCTGCTCTTTGAGGAAGGTAAAACTTCTTGTTTGCTAAAGCTGTGAGTATACCGCTGCCCGATATGTCATTTGACCAGGCGTCAAAGGGGAAAACAGAAGCCAGCTCACTGCTGTTTCCGTGACTGAGCTTACCCCTGCCACCTTCCAGACAGCTTTCTCCAGGCAACAGGCAACGCCGCTCCTTTCCTCCTCCTGTCTCCTGACCCGGGCGCTCCCTGCTTATGCTTCCTAGGACTGTCCTAGCAAGTTCGATATTTCTGGTTTGTTTCAATTACTGAATTTATTTTCTGGTCACTTTTTATTTTCAAGACCAGAAAACCCAATCTTTCTTCCTGTTCTGCTTACGAACACTCACGACCCATTCATTTACACATTCAGCTTATTGGATCTCCCTCCTTAGGGCCTCATCCCAATTGTTTCCATTCTCTCACTTTCCTCTTCCCACATTCGCAACCCATCTGCAACATTCTTTTTCTCTCAGTCAGACCAGAGTACATGTATCAGTGCAAATCTATCCTTCATCCTGCTAGTTTATATTACGAGGTCAGTTAACTGCCGAACCTCAGTCCTCCTTCAGGATACCCATTTTGGGTGAAGATGTGCAAACTGAGGTGCCAAAGCTACCCATCATGATTGGAAGACTCTGATTCCTCCTCAATCCACTCAATAAGTTGCTACCTGAATTTAAGTAAACAGCAGACTCTGGTCTTTGAAGACCAATTTCTGCCTCTTGGCTTCTTCCATTTTCCTGGGCATCGGGGGCCTTGATCACTCTGGCTATCCCCAGTCTCTTCAGCCTGCCCACTAAGTTCATCTTCAACTGGCCAGTATCAGGAGGGCTCCGGGAAGGTCTCAAGCCATACATCTCCTGGAGGAATGTTTCGGCTGGGCGGGAGGCCAAAAAATTTTCAGAGAGATGCACTCGAGGCTCAAAGGGCAAAGGAGAAGAGCAAGGTGAGTGAGATGGTGAATTTGGTGGTGTGGAAGGGATAGCCAGGGCTTTAGGGAGAGACTGGAGAAGGGGGTTCTCTGAAACGGGGCTGTGGTAGACTTTAGCAGAGATGCCTCGCTCTTGGAGAAGTTTGGCCAAGCTCATGGTGCTGCTGAAGGTTACAGTGGAATCTCGTCGGTTGGTGATGGACTCACCAATGCTGAGTCTATAGGACATAGCAGGAGAATTCACCACCGTGTTTGATGAACTGCTACTGCTACTTCCACAGGATAATGAAGGGAACCCAGAGCTTAAAAAAAAAAGCAGGAGAGACAGTTTAAGCGTTAAAAAGCAATCTCCAAGTCAGTATTTAAGTAATTACAGTAGGTACCCACAGTAAATATAGAGGAATTAGCAACACATTAGTAACTGAACTCTGTAGAATAGATCTGAGGAATGAAAATTTTGATATGTTACTTTGACGATTGCCTAATTATTTGTAATTTGTAACTTACTTAATAACTTGATATATTAAGTTATAAGTTCTTTTTATAGGATATGAAAGTTGACTGTACTCTTAGATAACTTCATTCTTAAATTTGAACTCTAAAATATATTTATCTATGGGAATATCATAACTAAATTTTATATTAGAAATCAAACAAATTTAAATATAAGAGCAAACCCTAGAAAATTTCATTAACCTATCAATTCCATAAAGTGAAATACTCCCAACAGACAATCCATGAGCAAATAATTCTTCAATCTTTTTGAAAATATAATCTTTCATAATTAAACCTAAGATGCTCTTCTAAAAGCAGCTTTCAATTTTATATTTCTGAGAAGTAATAAAGTTCTAATTATTAAATTCCCATTGTCAAGAATATGTATTCCAAACAATAGTAGCATAAGGATACCACGGAACAAATTTTTCTCAACCTTGACTAAGAACATGTATTTCTCAGAAGTTAAAAATAATTAAAAACCTTAACAGCTTTTAGAATCTTTCATCTTATGTTTTGTTAAAAAGAAAAAAAATTAAATAAGAAATCATGTACTCAAAGAAATGGTGATAGAATGGAGAGAATACTTCTTTAGTCAATCTTCCCCTCTGAGCAAATGTTACTGTATTTAAGAAACTTTCATTTCAACACAAAATACTTAGTGTATCAAGATATCAAGATTTTTAAAGATTATGAACAAAATGCAAGTTTAGGATTAATAAATAAACTTTCTAAGGTACCAACTTATATAAAAGCAAAATACAAACAACTTGACTGCTTGGTTGAATTAAAAGCTTATAATCTGATATGGTAAATATATTGTACTCCCAGTCTCCCACCTCCCTGGCCCTACTTTACTGCAGAATTGCTTGTCCTTTCCCAAGTTATACACTTCATATGACGGTATCTACTTGAATTGAGAGTCTTCTCAGGAATCGATTCTATAAAACTTACCTTTTTGACTATAAGAACAATGTAGGAAGACTACTGATATGTCTGTTCATTACAGACTTTATTGAGATCTTTATTGAGTATCACCCAAATGCCTCTCTAAACATCTGATTTGCTTCTACCTTATAAACACTGTGAATCACAATGTTATTTCCATCCACACTGGCAGCAGGAAGGTTAAGACTCAAACTCACCTTATCGAGTATATAATTATGGTACAATTTATACATAGTTTTTTAAAATCTATTTTCTATCTTTATTCTTGATTCCTCTTTCCTTTATTTTTCTTCTATCCTAGTTAACATCAACTCTGAAATGTTCCACATATCTTTGAAGACTACCTTAGATGCTTTTGGGAATTGGTAGGATAGAAATAGTAGCAATATGGCTTAATAAGATCCCTCAACGACCTGTTGGAATAGCCATATTCTAGCCTGTGTAGAAAATAATTTGGCCTCAGCCTCTGGGAGGCAATCTATGCCATATCTGTTTTTGTTTAGATGGAGGTTGGGCACAGTTGATCTTGAGGTGGGCCTGGTCACATCCAATAGTTGTAGGGTTGGGGCTGGCCATGCCAGAAAGACCAACCATTTGATTTAGGGTGGGGGCTTTGGGTAAGTAGACCTGGAGATGAGTTCAACCACATGGGTAATCAATCAATCAATGGATCATGCCTACGCACTGTAGCCTCAATACAATATCTGGACTGAGGCGTGGGTGAGCTTCCCTGGTTGGCAATACTCTGTGTGTACTACCACACATCCATGCCAGGAAAGTAATTATCCTAAGGCCAAGGGAAGCTTTGTGTGTGGAAACCCTGACACTGATTTATGTGTTTCTTCTTTTGGCTAACTTTAACCTGTATCCTTTCCCTGTAAGAAACAGTAACCATGAGCACAACAGTTTTCAGTGAAGTTCTGTGAATCTTTGTAGAAAATTATTGAACCAGAGAGTAGTTTTGGAAACCACTCGCAGGTAGTGTCAGAAGTGAGGGCAGTCTGGAATGGAGGAACGATCCCTCAAATCGTACAGTTTGGCTAACTGTGGGTATAGTTCCAGTTGGGCCTTTACTACCTGTCTACCTTGGACAAGTCACATGAACTTTCTATGCTTCAGTTTCTTCATTTACACAACACACACTTGCTCTGCCTACTTCAAAGACTTATAATGATCGAATGAGAAAATACAATGTGAAAATATTCTAAAGACAAATGATCACAGAACATTAATTAAAATTCTGGGAAAAATAAAAGTAAGTTTTAAAAGGAATTCATGAAAACATAGTTGAGGAAAGAAGTGAGGCCTCAAATTGCCCAGACCTACCTGGGGGTAACCTGAGTGATATCAGAGGGATGTAATATCCTACAGGTGGTGAAGGTGAATGTCAAGTTTGTGCATGAGAGACACTTCCCTGGGTTTGAGGTTGCAACTGAAGTAGAAATTTTTAGGGAATCAAACACAAAATTGAAAGACCAAGTTAAAAATGTAAAAAGTTCATTATTATTTATTAATAATACAGCATTTATCAAGTGTCATTTGCACAAAAATCCCCAAATATGAAAATATACATAAATATTACATTAGTATTGACTGGTCACTGTATAGCTGAATCCTTTGATACTTTAAAACTATAATGTAAAAGGATTAAAAGTAGCTTAGAAACAAGAGAAAACACATTCTAAAAAAAATACATTAAAAAACCCCAAGATCCAATCTTTCTAGCCAAACGATCTATTCCAGTGGTTCTCAAAGTGTGGTCTGAAGACCTTGTGGGTGTTTACACATCAAAACTACTTTCATAGCAATGCTAAGACACCATCTGCATTTTTGACTGGGTTGGCATTTGCACTGCTGGCTCCTCAGCACAAATCAAGGAAATGGCACCAAGCTGTACTAGTATTCTTCACTGTTCTCCACTCAGTATTTAAAAAACAAACAAAAAAAAAGCCAGATTCACATAAAAATGTCCTTGATGAATGTTGACTCTCGAATTTTTTTAAAATTCTGTGCGGTGAAATGAGAAGTGAGCATTAGGCACTCTGCCGCATACGAGATACAATGGTTATCCAGAGGAAAAGCATACGTGCAATTGAGTTGAAATTTCGTGGAACACCATTTTACTTGAAAGAATGACTAACAGGCACACTACAGTTATCCAGACTTGGAAATCTGGCAGAAGTTTTCTTGAAAATGAATGTAGTGAGCACACCTCTTCAAGAAAAGTAGCTGACAGTATTTGCTGTTGACAAATTTGAACTTTTGAGTTAAAATGAGAGTTTTGGAAAACTTGTATCCACCACTGAGATCTTGAAAGCTTCCTAATACTAACAGACTTATCTGATGAGACAAGTGGTGATATTAATGTGATTTTAATACATTATATAATGAAATGTGCCAACATTTGGAAGATCTGCATAACTCACTAAACCAATATTTTCTAAATGACCAGTGCATGATGTCACAAAATCATGCATGGGGAAAAGATGCATTCAAAGTGTAGAACAGAACGATAGATTTTAATGTAACAAAGTATGAAAAGTTCACTGATAGAGTTTCATACTCCACATTGCCACAAACCTTAAACTACCATTTATCAAGTTTTTGGTGTAACATCAAAGAGTATCCACAGATAGCTGATGAGGCCATTAAAATACTCTTTCTTTTTCCAACTACATATCTGTGTGAGGTTATATTTTCCTCCTACTTCTCAACAAAAACAACAAATTATAGCAGTCTGAATGTGGAAACTGATATGAGAATCTAACAATCTTTTATTAAACCATAAATTAGAGATTTATAAAACTGTAAAACAAACCACTCTTCTCACTACTTAAAAAAATAGCTATTTTTCATAAAACATATTGTATTAATATGTAATTATTATTTTTAACTGAGTTAATAAATGCTTTTATAATGTCTCAGTTTTGATTTCTAATATGGTAATTATCAATAGATGCAACCCATATAGACAAGCTCTTTGGAATGCTCAGTGATTTTTAAGAGTATAAAGAGGTCTCTCTTTCTCTCTCTCTCTGCCCAGTTGATTTATATAGTCTGGCTAAGATAAAGTAGAATTAGAAGGGTCGCTAATGCCATAGGTTTTCATTATCTTATATTCAAGACTAAGTATACTGCAATGACAGTTAAGTAGAGGTAGTCAGCTGACCATACAGTAAGTCAGGATGCAAAGTATTACTAGCTATGAGACTATATTCAGCAAAGTACTCTTCTTACCTGTAACTGGACCACCTGCTGAAGTAATGGGCGGCAGAAAGATTCCTGTTATTGGCTTGGAATCGGTAGGTTTTTGTTCCACTTGAAGAGGTTGCTGAACCTGAAAAGTGATACCTTCCTCTTCATCCTCTTCTAAATCTGAGAGGTGATAGATGGCATCTTTAGGCAATTGGGTAAAGCCTTTAGTGATGACACCTGGTCGTGGGTCAAGAATGGTTCCTAAATTTGGTTGAGCAAGCTGTTGCCAGTGGTACAGAGTTTGTGATCCTGAATATGCAAGATAGAAATAAATAAATAAGCATGCTTTAAATTTCTCACAAATATTAAATCTTGAAGCAGAAGCTAAAATTATGTGTAAAAAAGTAATATTAATAAAACTACTTCTTTAGTCTTAATATTTTGGTAAAATTTGTAAATTAAAGTTCTCTATGGAAGATTGACAAGTTGCTGAAGATATGAATAATAATCTTTCTATTTCAAACGTTAAAAAGGACATCTAAAGCAGGGGTGAAGAAAACCAAGACAACATCCTTAATAGAAACTAGGATGCTGAGGCAGTGATGAGAAGAAAGACATGTACCTTAGAGGTGACAAAAAACAATACTTCATTGGCTTATGAACTTTGAAATCAAAAGCCAGGATCATAGGATGGAAGACACTTTGAATTTTCAGTGGGGGTGTGTGTGTGTGTGTGTGTGTGTGTGTGTGTGTGTGTGTGTACTTCCCCACCTTATTCATGACTCTCCTTTTCCCAGGCTCACAAGGAGAGTAGGAAAATCAAGGAAATGATAAAAGGAGGCTATATCCCTATGGTCCCTGCCTATGAACACTGGTGAATGATCACTCCAAGCATCTGCACCAGATGCAATGTCTAATTATGACACTATAGTCATTTCATCCTAAAAATGGCAACTCTGACAAATACCTGCAATTCTGACAAATACCTGCACTGATCATTAATGAATAAAACTAACATAGGACCTCACGGGTTTCCTACTCAAAATTTTGTCTAATGCAGACGCTTATGATAACAGCAGAGAATCATCTGAAGACTGGCAATATTCTATAAAGCAAAGAAATTTCTTTTGAATTCAAGTTCTATCTTACAAGAGAACAGAAACTGAATTGAAATGAACAGAACTGGAAAGAAAAATACAGGCACACATACCTGTAAATAAACATTACTTGGGTAAAGAACTCTTTTTTGAAAAAGAAGGTAGAGCTAAAGAATTATACTTAGATTATTTTTACTTATCATATCCCATTTACCTTACCATAAAAATTGTTATAATGATAGTCCTTAGCAAAGGACAAGAAAAGATTACTCTTCCTCCCTCATATTTATATTTAAAAAAATCAATAAAAGAAAATTGATGGCTGATGACCTGGAGAATACAGATCTCTTCATTCATTTTCCACAAAGGACTATAATGCACTGTCACCTAAACGGCAAGACTTAGTGATAATAAATATATCTTCTGCACATAGTGCTCTTACAATTACAATATAAATCTTAGTTCAGGTGAAAGAAAGTCAATAAACAATGTGGCTTAACCCATTTCCCGTTTGCCCTGAAAATATTCACCGGTGGTGTTCACGGCTGCAGCGTTTACCCCAAGATAACTCGCAGATTATAGTCCTAAATTTGCCATGAAATACCTCGCTTTTTCTATTATTTTTGCATCGCTCTAATATATCCATAGTCTTTGGAAACAAATGAAATCATTCTATGTATAGCATTCTGTTTTTAGCCATGGTATTTCCATTTACAAAATATAGTAATTCTTGATCACTGAAAATGTCAAATCCTAGAAAACAAAGCATCCCTACGTGTGATGTTAACATTGTTCTCAGTTGTTAGTTGAAGATTCATTTGATGAATCTGATTTATGTATACATTTCTGTTACATTAGGATTAGAGACAAGTTCTGTTTAGAAATAACTCCAAGAACAGTTTTCATACTTATTTTCACATTGAAAACCAGTCAGATTTGCTTCAGCCTCAAAAAGTGTGTTTATGTAAAATTAAATTAACGATGGCACAAGGGGCTTGACAATTTGTAATTTTTCAGGCAGAAAACACCGAAAGCAACTGGAACTGCTGAAGTCTGTGATCTCCGACTGGTCAGTACAGAGAGAGGCAAGGCTCTCTGTGGGGGTGCCACAACCACTAACCCCTTCTTTCAGGTCAGCCAAAACCTGAATCTTCCGCTCCCACTCTTCAGCAAAGAACTGCTTCTCACTTAAGTAGTTCTGTCGCCGCAGACTAAGGCGATGCAGTGCTGTAGCCAAATCACTATCTTCAGAGGGTTCTGGTTGACCCACCTTATGAATGTTCCTATAGGCAAATCACATTAACTGATTAAATTTGTAAGGATCATAGCACAATGCAGACCTCTCCTTTCTACAATGGTGAATGTTCAAGAGACTGATCTTATAAACAGTATATGTTTAGATATCTGGAACACAGAAATAGTAACGACAAACCAAAATCATTACTACTATATGTTATTTTTATTGATCATTTCAAGTGACTTCAGAAAGGCAAAAAATATACTTTATAATTATATAGTGTTTACTGACTTTTCTATTTCACTTAATTTATGACACTATTGATAGGACCATCCATAAATTCAGTTTAGGTAGTCAAAGAAGAAAATATTATCATATTTCATGAATCTATACTGTCATCGATTACAAAAGATACTGTTATTTTATGTACTAAGAAAGAAAAAATGCTACCTGTTAAATTATGACATGCCATTAGTTATAAAAAATAAACAATTTCAAAAGTACTAAAATGTGAAAAAATTTGCTTTGGCCATAGAATCCTCTATGAAATACTGAAGAACATTTAAAAAAAAAAATAAAACAAGATTGGTAAATACTGCATTTTCATAGTTCTGTGACATTTTTTCACTGTTCACCATTTTAAAAATTAGAGTTATCTTACAATTGATATCAAAAGAAAGAGTAGCAAGCCAAGGTGTAGTTGCCACTGGCCATTGTGTGTGAATTCACATAGAACTGTCTGTTAGATCTCCTAGGGTGAGGTTGTACTGACACACAAAACTACTGTGGGTGCCAAATACGTCCACCACAGACAAGGCAATACAACCGAAAACCCAAAGGAATGGATTTGTACATTAGAAAAGATTTTTCTCAGGTGTTAAACATCTACCTTTCAGAAGCTTTCAGCTGACTTTCTAGTACTGCTGTTTAATTTCTAGTTATATGTAATTCAATGAACTGAATTAATGAAAAGTGGGAAAAAAAATTAAGTGTAAACAAATAGGAAATTAAGAGCAAGCTAGTTTTCCTCAATAGGTATTCAAGCTTATTGTTTATCCTCAAGGCACCAAAACAGTTGAGATTACAAGCATGGGTTATGAGAAAGTGTCATCTGATACTATACATAACTGCTCATGACCAAATTCCAAAAAATTTGACTTTGAACACAAAGAAGATTTAGACACAAACTTTGCCACACTGAAGAAAGTAGGAAAGAATTTCATAGTTCAATGCAAGCTCCATTTCGAACATAATTAAATGTAGCTTTTTTACTCCAAAACTTTTATGAAATCAATGACCAGTCTTACAAATAATAAAGAAAACTGACAGCTCCGGAACTTGGGACAGCCCTGAGCAATGCTAGAATTTGAGTATGTGAATCTGGTATGTCAATACCGCAAGAAATGTATGTAGAATCACTGCCATGATCTATGCTTCTTACCCTGGAACCGCCTCCAAGTTGCTCCCCTGGCTCAGGAGTGTTTTGTCCTCTGTTTGTTGTAAACCTGACTCAAAAAGTTTTGCTGTCATGATGACACTTGAACGATTGGAACCTGGAATTGTTAGCAGAGCTGGGAATGGGAAAGAGCGGCCCCGTGTGTCATTGGCAATCCTGACAGTATCGAATACCCGTTTCTGCTGGGCTCTGTCAAAAAAGAAGTGTACATTATTGCCACTGCCTACTGCTGGAGTGCTTTAGATAAGAGACGTGTGTGCAGTTCGTTAAAAATAAAGCCACCCTGAATAGTCTCTAAATTTTAGGAGATCATTAGAAAATAAACTTTAGAACAAGAGAACTCTCACAAATGTGAGCGCTACTAGGAAAAAACTGAAAAGTAAGCAGATTTACTACTGAATCTCATAACACCTATCACTTTGGATTGTGACTTCTTTTAAATTTCCATCCCAATGGTTGAGTAACAACATATTTGATCTGTACTCACTTTTGTTTAAAGAGAGATTCCTCATCCAAACTCAACTTTTTACGCATGGTTCCCTCGATCTCAGCTGCTAAAGATTCCTAAAAAAAAGAGTTTGAGATTCCTTTAGTGATTATGTAAGAAGGCTGTTAGAAAAGAAATGAACTGTCCTTAAGTTAACAGTCTCCAGAATCCAGTACTTTTGGTATTATAATAAAAGAAAATACAAAAAAAAAAAACATAGAAGAAAAAAAGAGAAATTCTGGAAATGTAACTTTTAAACAAGGACCGACTACTTTCTCGTGGTATATTTTTACAGGAAAGCAATGGCAAAAACCAATATGATAAATAGAAAATATTACATATGCAGACACACAAAAATAAAAGGTGTGAAAAGCTATAATTCTAGATGCTAACAGTAATTCTGTGGAAGTCAAGAGTTGATGGTATTTAACAATTTCTTTTTGCTTCTCTATAACTTCTGGCTTTTCTATAATAAACATGTACAGCTTTTATAACATAGAAAAGTCATTAAATCAAAAGTGAGCAAGCTTCCCCCTCCCCTGGTCAGGAATGAGGCTATAACTAGCATGGGTGGCATGCTCAGTGGGGCTGAGATGACAATGACTGGGATTGAAGGTATTGGTGTGAACAATATGGATGGAAAGATAGATATTGATGTGTTTGTGTGGGTGTATGTATGAACATCTATCTGTTTCCTAGGTCTACCTAATGAAAGGGTCTGGAAGCAATAATACTCTAGTAGCAATGTACACACAGCACCCAGATCTTGAATTTTTAATACCATTCCTCGTGAAAAGCAACCAAAGCAACTTGGAGAAATGGCTGATTTCGGGACTGGGACAATTCAAATATCAAATAAAAAATACTAATAAATTACAATCCATTGACTAAAATAGGAATCCATGAGTCCATACTGAAATAAGTCAATGAACAAATGAATAAATGAGACAGAAAAGCTCTAATCCACAAAAGATTGCCAATTAATAAATGTTGAAAACATGATGAAATTAGAAAATCACCACCTGGCAATTATCACAGTATTACAGTGATGTCAATTTCCTGACGTTGATGATTGCAGCACGGTTATGTAGGAGAGTGTCTTTGGTTTTAGTAAATACACCCTGAAGTACGAAGGGGTAATATGGTGTATCTGCCATTTACTGTTAAATGGTTCAGAAGAAAATAAGAGAATGATATAGTATATGTAATAAAATGTTAAAAATTGAGGAATCTAGGTGAAGGATATATGAGAGTTTTTCATACTATTTTATTCTAAATTTAAAATTATTTCAAAATAAAAAAGTTAAAAAACAAATTCTGGCCCCATATTCTTCAGAAAATCTACTATAATTTATAGTTTCAGTCTTTAAAAAAATTTCACAGGATTGCATGTAAATGTTTAAGAACTAGATTGTTAAAATAAGTCTTTGAACCAACATTATAAATTCTAGCATAAACTCATAAGTTTTCATTAATTTCTTTAATTCAAAAAATGCTGTTTATTGAAGAGTTAAATAAACATGATTCCTGCCCTCAAGGGGCTACTTTCCTTGGGGTTCATCTTATGTATTACAATAAATGTGCATGGTCATCTGTTAGAAAGAAGGCTACAATAAATTAGAGCATTTAGGTAGATGTACATATACAAATTAAGGCCTAAATCAGTAATTGAATTCCAGAAACAAGGAAAATCCGTGTTATCTCTTCTTAAGATGCTTTACACCATCAGAAACCATATTGCTCTCAGAACAATCTAATCCTAAACAAGCATCCTTAAATACATAACATCTTTCTCAGTTCCTTACTCCAGAAAAAGCTCCACATGACTGGGAGTACAGATGAGCAGCAGGGCCAGATCTACTACGAAGTTCCTTTATTTCTTCTTGAGATTCATGTAACATTCCCAGACACTCCATATTCCTGTCTTGTAACTCATGCAGCTGAAAGAGAGGATGATAATTAGCGTACTTTATTAAATTCTCATATAAAAACATCCATTGGGATAAATATTAATTTTATACTGATGACTAGCTAAGTTTATGAAAATAATCCGTTTCAACACAAAGACTCTGAAACAAACTAAGCAAGGGCGGGGTGTGCGGAGAGAGGGAGAGAGGGAGAGAGAGAGAGAGACAGAGAGAGAGAGACAGTGTGTGTGTGTGTGTGTGTGTGTGTGTGTGTGTGTGATTTTAAGCTGCTAGAATTAGGGGTATCTTGGCCAGAATTATAAATAAACATGATTTCCTAAAAATCTAAAATGTAGCTGAGGTGACCATGACTGTTAATTCAATATTTAATGCTTCATATCCTTAAAAAAATTATAGAAAAATAATAATAGTTATGGTCAAATAAGATTTAGCATACTGTTAGATATATATTTTGAAAACATCATTCTGAAGTCCGTAATGACAAGATCAAGTCTACAAAGTATTGTGTACGATGTTAGGGTGCTCAATCATCTTAAACAAGTAGTTTCTTCTCCCTTGTTTCAGAACCATCTTTACTGTTAGATATACAAGCATGGTTAAAAAATGCACGTATTTTTCAGAGTACATTTTAACTTCAAAAATTTCTTCACGTGGTATGTGGACTGGATCATTAGCATCACCAGGGCTGGGGATGCTTATTAAAAATGCAGATTCTAGGCCCTCATTCTAGACCTACTATATTAGAAACTTGGGGGGAAGGTACCTGGGAATCTCCATTTAAAACTCTCCTAGCCAGTTAACTCTTACACATGCTAAAGAACCACTAAATTATACCTAATATATAGAATTTTGATATATTAAAATTATATAAAAGGAAGAGATTTTTGCTATTTCTCCCGACATTTTAAAAACTGTTGGGTTAGTTAAAGTTGACTGCTAAAAGGGTCACATATTCCTAAAGAATCCTATGAAAGTCAAGGTTTTCCCTATTAATTAAGAAGGATGTTGCCATGGTATTAGTTTTAGAGACAGAATTTGTTAAATGTTTTACTTCTTAGCTCTCATAATTTCATCTTGATCCTCTGTTGTTGTTTTAAATCTTATTCACGAAGAGGAAAGAAGCCATTTATTCTTCCCCCTCGTGTATTATAATTACAAGATAAAGGAAGATTTCATTACCTCCATTGTCAGTTGTCTTTGGGCATCTTTAGAAGCTTGTAGATGAAGTCTCAGTTCTTCCTTCTCAATCACATGCTAATAACAACAAATTAAAAGAGACATGTGAAGCCTTTCCATATAAAATAAAGACTAATCTCTTTTTTAAGACATTCTAAGAGTGCATTTCAGGGGTATAGTCTATGTAGAGGCCTATAAAAAGCTAACCTTCCAAAAGCCAAATACGAGCAATAAAATGGGCAGAATATAAAATCTGTTAAGGTGTTCAGAATATAATGAGCATGAGTCAATAATTCACATCACAAGTTTCTGAGGAGATGTAACCCCATTTTACGGAGAGAAATAGTGACTTGAAAGTATTTATCCATGATACTTAGGACAGAGAGAAGACTAAAACAGCAATCAGAACTTTAAAAGGGCAGAGACTGTGTTTATTTTGCTTAATGTATCTAGCACTTAAGAGTGCACAGTACTAGGTAGGTCAGTGCTTAACAAACATCTGCTGAATGAATGAATGAACTTACTTCTTTAAGTTTGTGCTGAAGATCTACAATCTGAGACAAGAGAGAAGAGATCTCTTCTTGGTATCGAATCAGTTCATCACTCTTCCCAGACAATTCTTCAGTCATTTTAGACATCTGAGCATTAGTTTCACCTTGGAAACAAAACAAAAATTTTAAAAATGAAAGTAAATGTAAGATAGGGGTTGGCAAACTATGGTGTGTGGGCCAAATCCTGTCTTATAACAAGCACTGGACTATCACGAATAGATTTTTTTTTAACATAAATTTAAAAAATAAACCCAGATAACCCAATAGAGAAAAATAAAGGTTCTTCTGAAATGGGCTAATCTGGGACTTGAATGAGACAATGAAGCTAAAAACAGATGAATTGTAAAGCAAGAAAGCTAAAAGTTTTGCTTCAATCTTTTTTTTTTTTATGAGAAAGATGCATGCCCTATTTTTTTTCTTTCTGAAAGACAAGAAGGCTGAAAAGAGATAGGTGAATTATATATCTTTGCAAGTGGCAAGATGTAATCTAATTTATGTCTTTGAGAACACTTCAGAGATGTCAATAAAATCCCACAAGCAATGAAAATTAAACTTAAATCTAACTAAGGAACATTTCCAGAACGGAACAGTCACAATCTGCTAAAGGTACTGAGATGCATCTGTAGGAGACTTTCTGGGATACCTGGCAAACTGAGTAGAGCCTCTAAAGCAATTCTTACAGCCTTGCATTCTTGCATAGAATATGAACCTTACATGAAATAGAACCTTCAGAATTCCACTAGGGAAATAAATCTTTATTTCATATAAAAACTTTGACACCTAAATACAAGTGGCAAAACCATTTCTCAAATGTTTTTTTTAATTTACAGAAAGCCTATAACATTTCAGAGGATGGCAATAAAGAAGAAAGAGGCCTGGATCAGAGCTCTAGGGCAAGTCATTTCTTTCTTTCTTTTTTTTAAAGTGTAAAAGGTGGGAAATGATAGTGCTGATGGAGAAGATTCAATTTACATTCCTTCTTGTCCTCTACTATTCTGTTAATTTAAGTTATCAGTTTTTGAATTGACGTGATGTTACATCTTCTTTTTCAACATAAAAGACTATATATATTTACAGAGGAATTAAATATTTTTCTCTAGTAAAGCTGACCTTTTTCCAACTAATTAGTTAGAAAATTATTTTAGTTAACATTATGTCAAACCAAAACATATTCCTTTATAGATGACACATAGTTGGCACTTAAATATGCATTGAATGTTAGGTTTTATGTCATCATTTAAGCCCCAGCTCTGTCACTTATCAATTTCTGACTCTGGCAATCATATTCTCTATAGGACTATTTCGTCATCAACAACATAAGAGCTTTGGTTCTTTTCACCCTAATATACTATACTTGATAGAAATATAGGTCTTTATTTAATGATGATGGCAATTTGAAACATATTTCTTAAAAGTACATATGGTATTTTATTTAGAGTTGTGGGTTCAACGTGATATTCCAAGATCTTCAGGAATTATTTAATACTATTTCTTGAGATACTTCTACTGAAACCATTGATCTAATTTCCAAGTTGGAGATATCCTACCAAAGAATTGCCCAAAGGCTAAGAAACAGAATGTTAGTACTTACGAAGTTCTTTAACACAGTCGCTGACAAGCTGTTGTTCCTTCTCTTCATAGGTAATAGTTTCTGTCTTTATGTGACAAGCCTTCAAGAAAAAAGTAGTATGCAATATCTTCTGATTTTTATAGTATTAACTAAAAAAACCTTTAATTCTCTTTCAAAGATAAAAATTAATCACTTACAAAGGAAAACCCCATAAAGTTTTATCTATCATAAAATGAAGGTATGGAAAAGCACGTGACAAACATCTACCCCTCATTCCTCTTGGGGCCTTTGCATATGCCTACTCACCCCTTTCAGCCACACATCTCTACCTGGCTAGTCCCTAGCCATGGTGAAAATATCACTTGCTTAAGTAGGACTTCTTTAATTCCTCCCCATTATACAAGCTCACAGAACCTTGTAATTTTCCAGCATAGTTCTTATCACAGTTGTCATTATTTAGTTATTTGTGTAAACTCCACAAGATATATATAGTCTATGTTGTGGCTTTCTCTGTTTCTTCTGTCAACTTGTTATCCACTTTTCAGTGGGATCTAAGTAACAAGAGAAGGCAAATACATGTGCCTTGGCTGCTACCTGGGCCTATACCTTACAGCCTTTAAGGTAGAGGAAATTGAGAATTAGGTTGAATGTACCTTGGATCGAAGAACCATATTCTCTTCTTCCAGTTCCTTGAGCTTTTCTTGCAGCATGTCCAACTGCAGCAAACCCTGCGATAAGCTAAAGGACTCATTGAACCGAAGCGGTGTAGAACAGCTGGAATCAGTTTCACTCTCTTCAGAAGCAATGGAGACAATTCGAAGTAACTCATCTTTCTTGGATAGCTCATGCTGTAGTTGATTAACCTGCGCAGCAAAAGGGCTTGATTTTACAAGATGTTCTTTACTTAAATTATTTACATGTAGTATAGCTTCTAATTCATAGAGCAATTGTTTCTCATCATTAAAATAAAATCAGTTGCTAGATTTTACTGACTAAAGTAGCAAGTGCTAAAAAGAGAATAACAAACCTCAGATACTTCTTAAACTATCATTTTAGAGCATTAACTCAACAAATACATCTTTTGCTATACTTGCTGAGAACATCCAATTTTCATATTCTATATAGTACAAATATAGGAAAAAAATTTCACATTATGATACATTCACAGTTAAAAACAAAACTAAAGAATCTTCAAAGTATCAGAATAGATCCCTACTTCAAATTCTAATCCCAAAGGCTTGTACTTTTAAGCTGTATAACTCTGCATGACTTCCTAACTTTAGTTCTAGGGGATAAATATTTTAAACATAAAGGCTCAAATATTATTAAATATAATTCACTTATAAAATTTAAATAAAACTAGATAAAAATAACAAATTATAGAAAATTTGAAATTTATCCATTCAAGTTAATAAATCAGTTCTCACTAAAACTATTTATTGCTTTGGAATAAATGCATTTTTCAAAAATTTCTTTTCCTTTCTCTTTTTTCCTTTTGTTTGGGTTTTTAAATAAAGATACTTCATTTAGATATCTATTATTTGGGAATATATTAAAAAAAATAAAGTTAAGATAAGATCACACACAAAGTCCACAAAGAGTGGTGAGGATAAAGTGTTAAAACCTAAGCAAGGTGCCATAAGTACTATAGGTACTGATACTGGCTTTATATTGACTAAGGTAGGGCCACATGAGCACTCCTCTGTATAATAACATTTCATTTCTTTACTGGTTAGTTCAATGGTTGCCAACAAAGACAATATGTATTGGTGTTATTTACCTACTACTGTCATCAATTCAGGGACACCCAGGAAAAAAATTTCTCCATTGCCAAGACCTAATTATTTCATGCTGCAAATACTCGATCAAAGACTTACTTGATCAAAAGCTTGCCCCAACTGCTCCTCAAGGGCTTCATTCTGCTCAGACAAGACATGGTTCCGCTTTAAGAGAGCTTGCCCAATTCGAGCAGCTAGCTCCAGATCACGATCCCTCTGTTAAAATACCAAATACATCTTTTCTTTGAGTACAAACAAAATTAAATGGTAGTTTAGAAATTCTGTAGTCAATTCTGCTAAACACAAAAGCAATGTCCTACAAAGCATCAAGATTAATTTTAATGCCCAGATACCAAAATGAACACTGGGTCTGGCACATAGGTGGTGTTTAATATATGTTGGTCAAATAGAGGACTACCACAGTTGTGAGTGCAAGAGGGCATTTCTTTTCTTAGTATCAAGTGAGATTTATTGATCACCCTATTAATTAGGAACCAGCAATCCAATCTGTAAACTTAAAACTTTGGGGAATTAGAAAATCAATGTAGGACAGGGTCTGGCGCATAGTAAAAGCTCAATAAATATTTGTTAAATGCATCTGTCTGTCTACCAAGCATGGTAATGATACAGAATAAGGTATATAATATATGGGAATCAGGTAGGTACGTTAAAAAATTTCATTGAGAGTAAAGGATTAGAGGAAAGCACAGCCAAGAGCCCTACTGTCAAATAGTGCAAGAATGATGTGAAATAAAATAAGCGACAAAAAGTTTTAAGGCTACAAGGTTCTGCTTGGACCATAGAAAAAAGGGGGCTCTAAAGAAGTTGGTGGCGTCATGCAGGGAGGCCTACAAAAAAGCCAAGTAAAGCAAGAGTTACTCTTTCTGGGTACATGGTAATACTTAGCAAGGGCATAGGAATCCCAACTACATGGTGGAGGTGAGGATTATATTCTGTAGGATGAAAAACTGTCGATAAACATATAACTGCCTTATAAATGAGTATGGGTTCCACTTACATTACTCACTATAAATAAAATTAAGCTTCTGTCCTTTTGCCTCACAGCACATGAAAACAGGTAGATGAGTTATTTCCAAATTTTCAAGGCCTACTTATCTCATTTTCAATATAGGCTAAGTGGCATACACAAAATCACTTTGCGGAGTTGGAGGGGAGAGTAGAGAAGGGTACTTCAAGGAGAAAGACAGCTTTCCATAAAATCAACTGAAATTAAAATATAAGGAGAGACCTCTATGACTGCCAATTGGAAGAGATACACCATACTTATTGAAAATATCATGGACAAAAGGAGCTCAAATAAAAGCAGAAATCTTTGGGAAGATGTTCCAAATTGCAGGTGTTGATTTGCAATGGAGTTGCTTCTTAAATAGGAAGCTCTGCTACAGGTTGAATAACAACATATGCTTTTCTAGGACTGGGAGGCCAGCCAGCATCACTATAACAACAAACAAACAAGCAAACAAACAGCCCCACCCCCTCCCCAATTCACTAAACCTTCTATAATTTCATAACAATAAACTTCAAGAACCACTCTACTTTGCAATGCCAGTTGTTTCAATTGTAACAACCTTATAGAAAATAACTGAGAGCAAAGACATCATAATTTTTCATTTGATGTAAAAATTTGATAGATTCCAAACAATTTCAAGTTGTAGCTTTTTGTACTGGAGAAAGAAATTTTATATTCCTACCTCTGCCAGGAGATGTGTAACCATGTCGATGTCATTGTAAGTTTTGGTCATCTGCTCCACCCTGTCTGTGCCTAGAACTAAGACAGTTAAAAAACAACTGTTTATAGAATTTAGAAATAACAGAAAAATTAAAATATTTGTAAGAACTGAAAAATAACAACGAACCCAGGCTTTTACAAAAGGCCATTCAGGAGAATAAAAATATATGTGAAAAAAGAAAAGGAAAGAAACGTTTCATATATTAGACACTCAGGAAATATACAAATTATTACAAATAAATGTGCATCATAAGATGAATTAAGAATCAAAAGATCACAAGGCAGTCACTTCCTGACTACCTCCTCTCCCTCTGTAAGATTAGAACTTTGGCCCACTCACACTAGAGAATGTGGGCTGGGAGAATGCATGAAACCACCAATTGTTTTATATCCTAATCTAAACTAAAGTTACTGAGGAGTGAGTTAGTGAAAGGCTATGCTGTTACAAAAGAATTCAATTAGAATTCTGTTGTGATGATCTTGAATATGTATCATCACCTACCATGTGAGCTAATATCAATCAACAAGGAAAAGGACTTGTAGGACTTTTTGTAGCTCTGCTCTGAACCATAATCTTTTTTAGCTTACTTAAAAACTTTCTGATAATCTTCATATCTAGGCCTTTGCTATAAAATAAGTTGTATACTATACTATTACTTGCATAATTCAAGCCCAGTATTTCTGCACCTCATAAACTTAGGAACTGTCAATGCACTTGGATAATTTAGTTCCAAAGCGGACAAATATGACTACTGATTCCAGTCACAATAAGCAACATATCTTTTTAAGCTAGTGATAATGCATAATAAAAAAGGGATATTTTGACTTTGAAGTACACTACATGATACAGATTTGTGTTTGACTAAGACTGATTTTATAATTAGTTTATAATTAGTTGTCTTGAAGAAAAAACTGAGACTTTGGAGGAGAAAAGCTGAATTCACATATTTGAGTGGGCTTGAACAAGTCATTTAACCCTTCTGATATTCAGATTTCATATTTATAATATGAAGGTGATAATACTCATCTCAGAAGGTCATTAGGAAGTTAAAATATGATGATTCTACTGAGCAAAACTGCAAGTATCATACAACTGTTTATAATTATTAGTTTTTAAACACAACTGGTATGTATAAAATAGCCCTGGTTTTAAATTCTCTGTAAATAATTCACCAAATTGGCAGTAGATATTATAATTTAAGTCATTTGTAGTTTATTAGTCCTGTCTTAAAACTTGAGGTTGCCCAAAAGACACCATTACAGATGTTTTACTTTTATTTGAGCTTTTAATTTTTCTTTTTAGCATCACTGCTTAAAATGAATCTGGGGATTACCTAGAGCTAATTATTAATGATAGTCTTATTCCTACTTATAAGTAAAACAAAGTGCTAGGTAGATGGTATTAGGAGAGAGCTTTAAAAAGTTTTAAATATAACTAAAAAGCAAGCAAACAAACAAATAACCCAAACAAAAATCTAGAAACATTTTTACTCCAAAAGAATTTATATTTATAAGTAGAGAAACTGATTCCATAATTTAACCATGAGGATAAGGGAAACAGGCTTTTGGGCCTAAGGAATCTTCACAATTTAACTATATACTATAGGTAGTATAGCAGGAACTAAGAATTAAAAATAAGGCAGATACGATTGGTAGTTATGAAACAGTCACAGGGATGTAAAGTACAGCATAGGGAATAGAATCCCTAATATTGCAATAACTATGTATAGTGCCAGGTGGATACTAGGCTACTCAGAGGGATCATTTTGTAAATTATATAAATGTCTAACCACTATGCTGTACACCTGAAACTAATATAACATAATACTGAATGTCAACTATAATTTAAAAATTTAAAAAAAGGGAGGAGGTGAAGGGGAATAAGAGGTTCACATCTCCAGTTATAAAATTAATAAGTCATGGGGATGTAATATATGGCATAGGGAATATAGTCAATAATATTATACTAACATTGATTGTATGGTGTCGGATGGTTTAGACTTACAATGGTGATCAACTTCTTTACCTAATAGAAGACGAATAACTATGGTATATGCCTGAAACTAATACAATATTGTATGTTAGCTATATTTTAATAAAAATCTTTAAAAAAAAAGATACCTGCACACACAAAAATATAAGGCAGATACAGTGTATGGTCTCCACTACTTCCGATCTTGATAATAAGATGAGGAGGGAAAAAAATCAAAGCAATATATCTATGCTCTAAATTAACTACCGGAAACCAGCCAATAAATGCAAAAACCAAATTTAACGTAGGGCAGTGGGTCTCAACACCAGATTCTGATTTACTTAATTTGGAGGCAACCCAGGGCACAGGCTGCAAGTAAAAGATGCCCAGGTGTTCTGATGTGGAGCTAGGGATGAAAACCACTGACTCAGGATTAACACTGTAAGCAAGAGCCAGGAATTCTGGAGACTGAAAAATTAGCATAAATGAAGCCATTTTAAAACATAGTCAGGGCAGCCACTCCAGAGGAACTGCACTGCATGTCCTTGAGCCTTTGAAATGTTTGAACTGAGCAAAATGACCTTTGGACTGGGCCAAAGCAGCATAACCTTCCAAACAGCTGTTTATAAAGCTAACAGGAAAGCAGACCTCCTGACTAAAGGACTGAAAATTAAGATTCTTTAGCACTGAAATAGCTAAAGAATAACTTAGCTTACTTGTACCAATAGAAATTCCTTCCTTGGTTTATTAGCACCAATAGAAATTTCTTCCTTCTATTCAATGTAATTATTTCCCTTTCTTTTCTCACAAAAACCCCTTCCCTTTTCCCCATAAAGGAAACACTATTTGAGTTTCTGCCTGAATCAGTGCTGCATAAACAGCTATTCTTTATGATCTCAAATAAACATTTATTGTCTCTCACCTTGGCCTTTTATTTCCAGATTAATAAGACTCAGTTAAAAACAGTTTTTATACAACTGATTTAAAAAATACATGACATGGCTTCAATTACATAACTGACCAGAGTTGAAGTGGCAAATTTAATTTGAAGTGAACCCACTAAGTTAAGGATGTAAAAAACAGCTGTGAGTTACAGGTCACACATGATGAAAGGGGAAGAGAAAATGAAGGACACAGTGATACAGAAATGTAAAGAATAAAACATGTTTTAATGGAGAACTTAAATGTATTTCCTATAAATGCTTACCATCTGTCACAGTCTGAAAATGTAAAGTTGAACCTTAAGAAGTTGATTTAGTTTAATGATCTTATTTTCTTATATGAAGAATTTTAATTGAGAGGAATTATATGACATGTCCAATACCACAAAGCAAGCCTTTAGTGGCAAAGCCAGGATAATAATGAGGTGATAACAACCCCCATTCCCAGGGTCATAAAAAAAACAAAAAAATTTGGGTGTGCTCATTCCCAGTAACAGGCTCCAACACCATTCTGCTGTTTCTGCCAGGTCCTAAGATCAAAAGGCCTTTATCTGATGAAATACTAGAATATACCCTTGTTATTAAATAGCATAGATCCCAATTTTGTTCCTTAAAATGTGAGCATATCTATATACAAGAGAGGCTGGAAGGATACACATTAAAATGTAAATAGTGGTTATCTCAGGGTGGGGATTATGGTTGATCCGTTGTTTTGTTTTCGGATTTTTTGCTAATTTTCCATGAAGAACAAATATTACCTTGGCAATTAAAAAACTGCAGCTCTTGTTAAGAGGTTTCAAAAAGCAAAAATGAATTTTAAAATGTTTAAATATATATTATGGCAAAGAAGTTAGATAATGCAACCAGAATTCTCCAATTCTTATGTTTTATGTGAAATAGGCTCTATACTACCAAATCCCAAAGGCTGGGCCACCTCAATGAGAGTTGCTAATTGTTGTCAGTCACCAAGCATACAGAAACACAATGGATTCCCCTCTGCAGCCTAATGAGTTCTGTCTTCTCTTCCTTATCACAATACTCCTGCCAAAGACTTGCTGCTTGGGAAGATTCTAAAAGCACTCAGAGAAAAGCTCTTTCCTGTTCTATTGGCACTTAGGTGTGATCAAATGCTTCCAAGGCCATAGACTAATTCCTCACTGTAATTGTTACCAGGAATGAAGAGATAGTCAAGCAGACTGACTTTTATTCTCATCAATCCTATCAAATCCTGTTTTCCCTTCAGCTATCAGCTGTTAAAACATATAGGTTGGGGGCTGGGAGAATGGGGTGAAGGGTTAAAGAAGTACAAATTAGTAGTTGATATATGGTCACGGGGTTGGGGAGCATGGGATAGGGAATGCAGTTAGCATTAATTAAATGGCTAGGTGGAAAACCAGAGAAGAAGTAATTAGGGGGATTGTTTTATAAACTATATGAATGTCTAATCGATGTACTGTATACTTGAAACTAATTAAAATTTTTTAAATGGTAAAAAAAAAATATATAGAAATATGTTAAATGGTACAGAAATTAGCAATGCTTCTTGCTTGTTTCCAGACATGAACTTGCCTAACCTAATTCTCAAAAAAAAATTTATACATCAGGGAGATGATAAACATTTTTACAGACCAATTCTGCAACTTGATTTCAGAAGGTTGTTAATTAATGTTCAACATTTCTGGTGTAATATCTAGAGAACCCAATGTGCCTGAAACAAATATGGGGGGGGGTAATATACATAAGCACTTCATTTGTCTTCACTTTATGTTCTAATTGCATAATTTCATATCAACTACCCCAATCTCACATTTTTTCAAGATGGGAAATGCCGATGTTAATCCATTTTGATATCCCTGTCATTCATATGAAATAGTGCTTGATAGTTCTCTCAGATGATCCTTTTTAAGATCTAGAGTTTTCACCACAATTACTGAATTTTAAAAAGACTTCTCATCTTTCATCACTCTCCCACACCCAAAACCAAACACAAAAGCACCATCCATGTGGCATAGTAAAAGATGCAATAGCTCTCTCCTGACAACTGGAAAAAGGTCTTGAGAAGCGACTGCAGCTCTTGCTATTATAATACAAAGAACATTTCTGCAATATGAAAAACTGCCTTCAAAAGAACTGAGAAAAAAAGAAGACTGATGACATATACCATCTATATATTGTATATATAAGGCAGCCTTTCTCAGCAGGGTTCCAGGGAGAATTAAACCCTATAGATGATTTAAGTGAGGACGTTCTCAATTGTCCCACGGATAATACTTAGCTAGGACATAATGCATAGGTGATAAGGTAAACAATCCATTATATAATAGATGTTTTAGGGCATATGGCTTAATTCTTTTGTGGAACTGGTTGAGACAGTTGATCTAAGGAAGTATATATCAGCTTATTTCTACGACCTTATGGTTAATGCTTCCTAAGCATTATATCAGTTATATTTCCTTTTCGGCTAATACAAGTCAATAATTTTTGAGGGCACAGCTTTTGAGGAAAAGTATTAACTACCAACTAGAAATAATAATTTCTACATTTCTCTGCAAAATTGTATTCCTAATTCCTTCAATTCTCTAATTAATGTCAATTTACTTTTCAAATCGTTGAAGCGAAAATAGTATAATTCAACTAAAGGAATAGGAGAGTTGTTCAGAACCCAGAAGTACGGATCTGCATCATCCTATGAATCTCAAGTTTTAAACTGCTCCCTTGAACGTTATGGTTTGTTTTGTATAAAGCCTTGAAAATTAAGTATTTTAGAATTTTCTTATCTTTTATTTTTCAGTTTTTTATTTAAAATTCATCTTAGAAATACCTCCATTAAATCATGATCTAAGACATTATTCTAGCACAGTTCTGCCCTTCTCCCCAGTGACCTATCGGACAAAGAACAGTAAACTAAAGGGTACTTTCTGTGCCATTTTATCAAAATAATGACAAACTAAATTTACCATAATGAAACTTCAGTTTGAAAATGTCTTCTTACAAATCTAAAAACTCATGGAACAAAGGGAAATGGAAATAAAAAAATAGTGTTCCTTCTAAAAAGCATTTTCCAGAAAATCTCAAGCAACTTCTCAAACTAGAAATTTAGGAAAACCTTAAGAGCCTTAATTTAATATTTAGCCATTTAAAAGAATTATTGAGGACTGAAATACAGTTTTGAGTTTCCTGATATTCCAATTCAAGTTCAAACAATGTTTAAAATTCTTTTTCTGAAAGTAACCTGGTTCTAGGAAACTATCAAGAGCAAGTTAATGATTACTGTGAAAATGAGTATTTCACAACAATCATTCTCTACCTACAATCTTTAAAAACACTGAGGCATTCACTGGGAAAATGTCTAGGACCTGAAGCAACCTTATATCTCGCTCGAATGGAAAGAATTTCACAAATATATCAATGTTGAACTTACAGATTTTTATTATATATTCTAATAGCTATTATGCACACGATATTTTTATAGTGAATGAATAAAAAAAAGTAAGCTCAGCCCGAATGCAGATTTTTGGAATGAGGTGAAAAAAAATAAAGTCTCCATACTTTAAAGTTTAAAAAGTGTTCTATTTAATTTTATCATTTATAAGAGCTTGGTATAAAACATGTTTTAGGACAAACATGGCTTATTAGCCTCTCACTGAAATTTCTCTATGAATCCTTAAGTAATGAAGATTGCTATACAGTGTGCACTTATTTCTCTTTGGCATTATTAAAACTACTCATATATTTAAGAACTATCCTTAATAACTGACAGTTCCTCTAATTATGTTTAAAAAAAAAAAGAGTTATAAAGCTGATGGCTCAGGATAACAAACCAGTGGGAAAATAAATGTCAAGAGATATAAAGGAATATTAAAATTTTAAATGGTTTCGCCGTTTCTTAAGTTCTCTTTTCTAATCAGTCTGAGGAAAGTATCAAGTAAAAGATGAGAGAAATGGAAACATCGAGTATGCTTGCAATCCTGGACACTCAGAGTCATAAGAGTAACAAACTTTCTGCATTCAGACCTTGTTAAATCAGTTTGAATTAAAGTCACTACACAATGAACAATGGCTAGGGATCTCAGATGCTTTAAAAGTCAACACTAAGATATTCCTGATTTTTATTTCAATGGACAAACTCTAAAAGGATAAAAAAATACTCACTCATATAACGGAAAGTCTCTTCAGCAAGGACTGGAGAAAGGGCATCAGATGCATGCTGCTGCTGCTGCTGTGGGGACTGAGTCCAGTCTTGATTTTCATAGAGGAAGAGAGAGTCCACTCTTAGCCTGTACTGGGGTAGCTGTTCTTCTAGCAGACTCACCAGCTCAACTTCAGGCAGATCCTCATTGGAGCAGACATCTGAAGAAGAGAGTCCATGTAAATGAATCTAAGATATTTCAATTACTAGGCTACAGAGAAAAATCAGTGAAATTAGTTTTACGAAAGTAGGATCACCAAAGATACATTAACCACGTCATTTCTCCACTGATTTTTATTAGTATATTCTGATACTATAGTTGGTCTTTCTCCAGGTTTCTTTACTATGAGAACTTCTATAGTAAAAATAATACCATGAATTTTAATTACACCCTATCTAAAAATATACTGCATAGTGAATATAATTACGTTTTTAAAGTGTAAAATAAATTTAGACAAATTTCTTATTTCTGCCTTATCAATCTATTCAGTGGTGCTTAAAAGAGATCTGTTCTCAAATACCTTACATGCTTGAGGGAAAAAGGCAGCATAAAACAACAAGCAGAAAACAGCCAGTTCGAAAGGAATTCAACTATTATGTTCTTAAGTAACAGAATTTGAACTCTGTGTGAAGATTTTTCAAAAGCTGGTAAAATTATATTTTAGTATATTTTCACAGCAGCTACATATATAAAAAAAAAGCCTAACATTTCCTGGTTAAATATGAATGTTAACATTCCAGCACCGATACTGGCATATTTACTTTATCATTTTTACTTGAAGGATGTGGTACATTTAAAGTCCTGAATACCTTTTACATCGCTACTCCTTCTCACGCACACCTCTAACTCCCCACTGCATACATATCTCAAAGGCTTCTCTTTTATGTGTTTGCTCCTGGTGTTCTGTTCCAAATATTGCCCATCATTTAACATCTCCCAAATTTAGCCATTTACAAAAAGAGGCAAGTTATTGCTTGTCATATGCTTAAAATACTAGGGCTTAAAATAGAGAAAATACAGGATGTCACATCAACCCTCTCATTTTTTTAAAGAGATCTGGTATTTCCTTTGTGGATAGTATAAAGAAACATGTTCTAACTCTGGCAAAAAACAACAAAGTTCATTTTAAGAAAATATACCTTAAAAAGAGTAAATTTCTACTACTTGACCTTATCTTAAGAATGACAATTTAATAAATCAAATATAAGGAAGCTGGCAATATCAAACAACCCTATCCACCCAGAAGGACATGCTGTGGCTTCATAACCCAAAGATGAGGTACATTTAAAACCTTAAACGTGGTTCTAAAGAAGCTCTCCACATTTAGCAGATTTCTTAAATAAGAGCCCTAAAATACATATCCAAATTCTATTTCGACGAATTCCATGTGATTATCCAAATTTTGCCTGCCACAAATATCACATACAGGTTGTCACTGTAATACTTGCAGGAAGAGAGGTTGATTATAAATATATGCAGAGCTAAAAATGAACTCTTAGGCATTCAAGGGTAAAACGGAAATGAAGAACAAAAGTAACATTCATTAAAAGAGCTACAATTCCCTAGAAAATTTTTTTTTTTAATAAACATTAATGAAATTTTGTGAAAATTCAAAGTTACCAATTCCCTACTTCCAAAAGGTAATTTTAAAAATGAAGACACAATCAGGGTTTAGTAGATTAAACAAAATATCCTTCAGATTAGCTCCTCTCATTTGCTTCCATATTTCTGATAATGTACTATTTATTAGTCTCTTGATTGTCTAGTCATAACCACCTTTTCTCTACCATTTTATCCTCCAAATGTCTCTTCCATACACATACTTCTTTCTAGCCACCTTGCCTCCATTTAGGTTCAAGGCCTCCTCTTGTTACTCTTGAGTATGGCCTCAAAACTGGTCTACCTTCATTACACTCAAATTTTCTGCCACATCTTCATATCTTTATTATGTCACTCTCCTACACAAGGCTAAGAAACGTCTGAATTTCATCTAGACAGAAGAGAAAATCTTATGAACAGTTGGGATAATCAGGAAAGATCCAAGAAGGGTCATGCCAATTGGTACTAAGTAGGGTTAAATTAATGCTAAGTAAAGCACACTAGGAATATGGTCTGGAGTATGATCTAGGGTCCCACATAAGGGAGATTAAAAACAAGCCTCAAAAAGATAGATTTGGTTAGTAAGTAACTTAATGACCTGCCAAAACAAATTTTAACAGTCTTCCAAAGAAGACAACAAAACCCAAACATGACGATGTAACATTCATAATGTTCAGCATTCAATAAAAAATTATTAGATACACAAAGAATTAAGCAAATTATAATCCATTATTGGTTGGAAAATGAGTCAACAGAAACAGGCCTAGTAATGACAAAGATGATAAAATTAGTAAACAACAATTTTAAAATAGCTATCATTAACATGCTTGAAGATCTAAAAGAAAAACATAACCTGATGAAAAGAGAAACAAAATATTTCTAAATTTATAAAACTCAAATAGAACTAGAGTACAATATCCAAAATAAAAAATTCATTGGATAACATTTTATAGATTAGACATTCCCCAGAAGAAAAGAATAGCAGACTTGAAGGCATAGCAATGGAAACTATTTAAAATGAAGTACAGAGAAAAAAAGAAAGGGGAAAAAAAAATGAACAGATATCAAGAAGTTTAATATGCATGCAATTGGAGTCAAAGAAGAAGAAAGGTGAGAGCAGAAAGAATAGTTGAAGAAATAATGGCCAAAATTTTCTAAATTTAATTAAAACTATAAATTCATAGTTCAGAGAAACCAAATGACTTCAAACAGGATAAACACAAAGAAAATTCAAAGAGAAAATCTTAAAAGCAGAGAGGAAAAAAAAAAAAAGATGCATTACATTTAGGGGAACAAAGACAAAAATGATCTCATCAGAAGCAATGCAAGGTAGATGACAATGGAAGGTCATTAAAGTACATATAAAAGTCAACTTAGAATGGCTAAAATAGAAACGCTGACATTACCAAGTGTTGATACTGTAGAGAAGATGCCAGCAAACTAAGGCCCACGAGCCAACTCTAGCCTGCTGCCTCTGCCTGGTTTTTAAAAATATTTATTGGAACACGATCATATTTGTCCTTTTATGTATTGTCCATGTCTATTTTTCTGTTACAACAGTAGAGTTGAGTATTTGTAATTCAGCAATAAAAATGAATTAACTAATTACTGACACATATCACAATGCAGATAAATCTCAAAAACATTTTGCTGCATAAAAAAGCAAGACACAAAAGATATAGATTAATCTATATGAAATTCTAGAACAAGGAAATTTTACCTAAAATAACAGAAAGCAGATCAGTGGTTGCCTAGAGCCAGGAGTGAAAGGTGGTGAGTTCTGGGTACGAGGGAACTTTTGGGGGATAATAAAAGTGTCTACAACTTGATTGTACTGGTGGTTACATGGTATATATTTGTGAAAACCCAAATGTACACTTAAAATGAATGCATTTTATTATATCTTCATAAAGATATCTCAATAAAGCTGAATAAAAAAAAAACTCTTTGAATTTAGATGGGTTTAGAATTTTTTGGAGTTTTAGTAAAGTAGTCTTGGAATTTACTGTATATTATATAATATGCCCAACTAGTTATATAGCAGCAACCCAAACTTAAATACATTAATACATTTTCAGCAAACATAAATATTTAAGTTTAGAAATAGCTGCACAGGTCAGGTTTTGTGAACCAATGAACTTCAGAACCAAAGTTTAGTCTTGCAAATGAGGGCTTATAGGTCTTCACCTGTGTTTGTATACCCTGTATATTCTGAGTGCCTCTTATGTGCCAGGTACTGTTGCCAGGTGCTTGTGGGGTATACAAATGTAAATGACTCTGTCCTTGCCCTGTGGAGACAGGAAGATGAGTATGACACAGTTCCTGCTGGCCAGGGACTCATACAATACAGGGAGTCATATACAGACAAGGAACGGCACACAAGGCAGATTCTGATAATGTGATAGGAGACGAAAGGATAAAGAAATTAATTTAGTCAGTCTCTGAAGAGACCTCTGAGGAGGCTGGAAAGGGAGGCCAGGTTTCATCATGGCAGTCTTATACACTGGATTAAGGCATCTGCATTTTATCCTGTAAGCAAACAGCACTTCCACATTTATTAAATTGGACTCACCAGTGATGCTCTCTGAATCTCTGGGATTGCTATTCATGAGGTTTTCTTCATCCGTTGGTGATGTAAAAATGGCATTCTGGGATTGATTCATGCAGGATCTTTTCTTGCTTTGGTTGAGAAAAACAGCTTTGGTATGAATTAGAGTGAAGGAAATCCATCAAGCCATTAAAAAAAGAAATGGATCTGGTTGTATGGGTAGTTCCTTTTAAATAGATTTTTTTCTGCTGAGTCAAATGACATCTGCAGCAATGAGTGCTTTCAGGTGATTATCATACCTTGGACAGTCATGACCTAAAACAAAGAACACATCAAGTGACTACTATGCAGCATGTTTTTTAATAATAGCAATCCAATTACCTGCAATGTTTATCATTACGAACGTTTTCCTAATAATACACACAACATAGATAAATCTCAAAATAATTATGCTGGATGAAAGAAGTCAGATAAAAAATGAGTACGTAGTTTATGATTCCATTTATACAAAAATCCAGAAAACGTAAATTTATCTATAGTGACAGGAAGCAGATCAGTGGCTGCCTGGGGTTGAGGGAGGGACTACCAAGGGACAGGGGAAATGTTTTGGGGATGATGAATATGTTCGTTATTTTGAGTGTGGTGATGACTTCACAAGTGTATATATAATGTCAAAGCTTCCCCAATTATATACACTTAAACAATGTGCAATCAAAGGTACGTTCATTATAGTCAATAAAGCTGCTTAAAAAATTTTAAAGATAATCGACTATTTAAAATAAAATAATAATAATACGTTGTGAGGTCTATAACATAGGTAGATATAAAATATACTATGAAAATAGCACAAAGGCCAGGAAGAAAAAAATGGAAATATATTGTTGTAAAGCTTTTATGTTACATGAAATAGTAAAATATTGCTTGAAGATAAACTGTGATAACTTAAAGATGTATACTATAAACTCTAAAGCAACTAATAAAATAACTCAAGAATTATAGATAATGAACTGGCAAAAGAGTTGAAATGGAATAACATAAAACGGGCTTTCTCAACCCTGGCACTACTGACATTTTTGGCCAGATAATACTTTGCCATGTGCTTTGTAGGAATTTACTACTTGACTCTTTACAGAAAAAGTTTGTCAATCCCTGATCTAGTAGTAAAATAATTCAGGCATCAAATAACCAGCTGTTTAAATCAATGATATCCTACATCAACTAACTTTTTAAACAAGGTTTCCCCCCTTCCTACATATAATTAGATCACTACCTCTAGAAGAATTTCGGTAAACTAAAGAACAGATTTTACACCTACGAGTACATTTAAAGTTATTTTCAATTTCTAAGAAAGCATTTTTTAAAAAAGTAATAAGTCCCAAATTTGCTTGTGAAGAAGGGAGAGGAGAGGGGAGGGAAAAAAGGGAGGTAAGGGAGGTGGAAAAGGATGAAAAGGAAGAAGATAAAAGGCAAGTGCCTCATATTGGTCCAAATTGGTTCTTAAATAGAACTGTGGTTCTTAATTATATTTTAATCAATTCCATTGTTGAATAACATTGGGACCTTCTGCTTGACACTCTATTACACACCAGCTGGTTTAGACTTTTAGTATTTACATTACCATTCTTATTTTTTAAAAATATTTACATATATCACACAGGAGTACACACACACACAAACTATATATGTTTCAACTATGGACTCCAGATTTTTGCTCTAGAGAATTGCTTCTTAATCAGCTTTGGAGGTTATGTTAATGGTTTGGTCTTAACTCTTGCACACAAGAATAGAGAAAACCAAGTTGAACACAGAACTAAGTCCATCTCCAGAGTCATGCAGGAAGAATCTAGACCTCCAGGGCAATCCAAGAACCTGACCAACCTGTAGACTGTGTGCTAGGTCAGGGATAATCTAGAAATGATATGTTCTTCCTGGTGACTCTTTAGAACAAAATAAACCCTTTGGATATGCCTTGGTCTAGATCTGAGCTCTGCAGGAAGATTAGTTCGGAGTAGCAATGGTGAGTATAGGATAATGTCCACACCTAGGCATTAGCTAGCCTGAATTTTCATTTTACTTACTGGTTTTCTGACTCAGTACATTATTTAACAGTTCCTCTCTGTCTAGATAGGAGTTATAATTAACTTCTCTTTATAGGGAAGGTCAAGTACGAGGACTAAAAAAAAAAAAAGAAATTGCTTCCCTGGTACCTGACATATAATAGACACTAAAATGCTCATTCCCTTCAGCTTCCCCCTTTCACTTGGGCCTGAGGAAAAGATTATGTCTTCTGCCTAATATTTCTTAAGTTTCTGGCTCAACAGCCAACCCTGAGCCCAGAATGGCTGCCCTGTTTTGAGTATGGAATAGATGTAGTCTAAAGATCACCTATGAATTATCTTCACATAGAAGGAGGTAAGGGCTGAGAAACTGTGCTCCTAGCAATAAAGAGACAAGTGCCATAAAGGAGTACTACTGAAGATTATTACTAAAGCTCATTTCTTCATGGATTCTGGGGAAGGGCTGCTTATAATAAAGTCTTAACTATAACTATTACTTTTATCCATAGCATAGTGGCTATATTAGTTTCCTGTTGCTGCTGCTGCTGTTGCTACAAAAAATACCATAAATTTAGGCTTAAAACAGCACTAATTTGTTATCTTACAGTTCTGGATGTCAAAAGATGAAATGATTTCAATGGACCAAAAAGGCAAGCTATTGGCAGGGCTGTGCTTTGTCTGGAAGTCCTAAGGGCAAATCCATTTCTTTGTCTTTTCTAGCTTCTAGAGCTACATTTCTTGGCTCAAGTTCCCTTCCCTCATCTTCATGGCCAGTAACACAGCATCTTCAAATCTTTCTTTCCGCTTCTATGTCACATCTTCAAATCTTTCTTTCCGCTTCTATGTCACCTCACTACCTTCTGTCAAATCTCCCTGTACCTCCCTCTTATAAGGATACCTGTGATTACATTTAAGGCCCATTGGGATCATCCAGGATATTCTCCCCATCTCAAAATCCTTAATTTAGTTTCTTCTGCAAATTCCTGTTTGCCATATAAAGTAGTATTCACAGGTTTGAGGGGATTAGGGTCTGGATATCTTTGAAGGCTATTATCAGCCTACCATAGAGGTTCAGAGTATGGATTCTGGAGGCAGACAGACGATATTTGAACCCCAGCTCCACTTACTCGTATGACCTGCACCTACCTCAGAGTGTCCACGGAAGAATTACATGAGTTATATACATAAAGCTCTTAAAACAATGCCTTAGAATATAATAAATGCTATGTAAATATTAGTTACTATTCTATCAATACCAAATAGTACTATTTTATCATTATTATTATCATTATTGTACCTTACACAAAGCTGAGCAAAAGTAAACCCTGCTCTTGACTGCTTAATGGCGTCTTCTCTCGACATAAGCTACATTTACTTTCTGTACTGACAAGTGATGTTAGTTTAGTGCCATTAATCATTTTCTTTCTGCCTCTCTGAAGCATGAATAAAGAGAAAGCTTGCAGAATTGGAAGCCTAAATGCAGTAGAAACTAAACTTTGGCAAGCACAAACAACACATTTTCAGTGTCTTTCCTAGTGTGTACATACATATTCTTAGTACTTCCTTGAGTACCACCTACTTTCTATGTTGGATCTCTAGTCATTCTTTTTAGGAATGACTATGCTTCTTTTCTTTATAAAATGATCAACCAAGCATGCATCATTAACAAGAAGCCAGCTTTTGTAATTCATGCACATTTAGGAGAAAATTAAGTAAAATAGCCAAGTGACATCTTAATAAAAATGAGAATTAAAAAGAACAACCAAAACATGTTATTGATATAAATATTGCTGGCAGAGAACAACATGGTTAATGACTTAGTTTAACCTAGCCATGGAAACTAATGGTCAACAGTGAGTGCCTAAATATAGGCCTTGTGCCTTAAAAAAATCTTGCTACTTCCTTAAAATAGAATACTTTGGCCAAAACAAACTTATAAAAAAGGCTAAAACAATTCAGGAAAACTTCACCTTGACTGGAGTGCAGAGACAGAATTATAGTAAATATAATAATTTAATAAAACATTTAAGTTGGAAATATAGTTTAAAATTTTATTGTACAAATAATACTTTGGAGAGTATTTAAAAATACATGTTGGCTGCTGCTATGTGTGCTGAAGTAGGAACACTGCCAATCACTGACTCTAGCAGCAGCTCTTTTAGGCCATGGTGGCCCTACTCCAGAAAAAAGATAAATCGTACGATTAAAAAAAATAAATATCCAATGTCCTTATATTAAATAAAAGATTCTGAACAGAGATTTCCAACTTTAATGTATCTGGCTACATCAAAGATAAGACTTACCAAAAAAAAATCACAATAATTTTAAAACCAGAGATTAAACCACAAAAAACTATTTGATGGCTTCAGTGTTAAGAGCTTAAAAAAAAAGAGTGGTGGTGGTGGTGGTGGTGGTGGTGTCACCACCAAATTCAAACCTGGACAGTGAGCAGCTGACCTGACAAAGGCAGAGACCATACACCATCCAAAGCCAAGATCAGCTGCACTGATGTGTCATGCTATACTACACTGGCTACATTAAGCACAGCTACTCTACCAGCAATTGTAAAGTTCACCTTGAGGAAATAGAAATCATGCCCAGCAAATATTTTTGCCTCTTTTTTTAGTGCCATTCAATTTAAAGATCAACAGGGTTTTCCGAATATGAAATATATGGAGGCAGTTATACTTACAAACAGGTTGGATCCTAAAAGGCAGTTAAATCCATTAATTTGAAAGTCCAAAACCATCAGTGAGGTTTCGGCTTACAGGCCCACATTTCCTCCTAGCTGACATATTTTGGACATTTAAGAAAACTGCCCTATTATGTTTATAATGAACATTTGCTGAGGTGGGCAACCCCTCCCTGCCACAATCTCTACCAACAGAAGGGAGGAAACCTCTGACAGTTAAGGAATCCACACCAGAGCTTCAACTGCAGATTAGAAAAGGCCTTGAATCCATGGTGCCATCTGTGGTTTTTGATAAATGTCCCCAGCTGTTTCATTCGCCATGCTTAGCCTTAAGTTCTTAAACTCCTAACTTTAACCTGAATTAACCTTTGACTAAACAGGCATCCCACTTTAACAATGATCCTTTGCCAAAACCATTTCAGATATTCACATTTTTTTACCTTTGACTATCAACTGCACAGATACATTCCCCGCCCACACATTATGGGACTATCTTTTACAATCATTCTTACTGCCCAATCATTTTTTTAATATGTGTAAATTTCTCACTTTCAATATTTTATATG